TCTGTCTGTCTGTCTGTCTGTCTGTCTGTCTGTCTGTCTGTCTGTCTGTCTGTCTGTCTGTCTGTCTGTCTGTCTGTCTGTCTGTCTGTCTGTCTGTCTGTCTGTCTATCTATCTATCTACCTACCTACCTACCTACCTACCTACCTGTCTGTCTGTCTGTCTGTCTGTCTGTCTGTCTGTCTGTCTGTCTGTCTACCTATCTATCTATCTATCTATCTATCTATCTATCTATCTATCTATCTATCTATCTATCTATCTATCTATCTATCTATCTATCTATCTATCTATCTATCTATCTATATATCTATCTACCTATCTACCTACCTATCTACCTACCTACCTACCTACCTACCTGTCTGTCTGTCTGTCTGTCTGTCTGTCTGTCTGTCTGTCTGTCTGTCTGTCTGTCTGTCTGTCTGTCTGTCTGTCTGTCTGTCTGTCTGTCTGTCTGTCTGTCTGTCTGTCTGTCTGTCTGTCTGTCTGTCTGTCTGTGTTTCTGATGTATGTCATATCTATCTGTCTGTGCACCCGCCTAAAGGTCCATCCATATATCGATCTGCAGGCACGTTTTCTATCTATCTATCTATCTATCTATCTATCTATCTATCTATCTATCTATCTATCTATCTATCTATCTATCTATCTATCTATCTATCTATCTATCTATCTATCTATCTATCTATCTATCTATCTATCTATCTATCTATCTATCTATCTATCTATCTATCTATCTATCTATCTATCTGTCTGTCTGTCTGTCTGTCTGTCTGTCTGTCTGTCTGTCTGTCTGTCTGTCTGTCTGTCTGTCTGTCTGTCTGTCTGTCTGTCTGTCTGTCTGTCTGTCTGTCTGTCTGTCTGTCTGTCTGTCTGTCTGTCTGTCTGTCTGTCTGTCTGTCTGTCTGTCTGTCTGTCTAATCTATCTGGCTGCATGCATGCATGCCTGCCTGCCTGCGGGTCTGTCGGTCCGACGTTCGGTCGGTCGGTCGGTCGGTCGGCAGTTCGGTCGTTCGGTCGGTCGGTCGGTCGGACCCACCAAAAATGTTGTGGTTAGTGGTTTCAACAACGGATCAACATCATGGCAGATGGGTAATAACCCATAAGTGCTCCGTTCTTTCTTCTCACTCGAACCTGAGTCTGAAGAAGCTCAACACAGTGCACAGGCTCTGTAGCACCGGCGAGGATCCTGAAATACTTTGTGTATATTTTAAACTCCAAATTTTGCCCGGGCAACACCGTTATGCTACTCTTTTCGATTTCAAACTGCCAAGGGATTTTTTACATGCGCGACAATGCACACGGGCATCCGATCTCACTACCCAGAGACCAGGGAGAATTACTAGAAGTCCACGTGAAAAAATCCCAGCTCTTACTGTGGACTGAACCCGAAACCTCTAGCACTCGAGGCGGACACCACTATAATGTTGAAAGAGGGCCAAGATGCCTTTTCTAACCATGTACAGAAATGATCTTTTGAAGTTGTTGTTTATACAGTTAATATTATTTCAAGCGAATTGTTGTTTTATATGGCTCTGAAACTTGGAGCACAACTAAAAGAGTTGAAGTCTTAGTAGGCATTTTCGAAAACAGTCACACGAGGAAGCTTTGAACCCATGAAAGATGTTAACAGCGGCGAATGGAGTATGAGAAGCAACGACGAAGTCAAGAGTCTGTTTAAATCACCACTGATCACCGGTATCGTGAGAGCTAATAGACTGAAACGGCTGGGGCATATTGAGAGAATGTCAGATGACAGATAAGTAAAAAATGTATACACACCGGAGCTGAATGGTCGTAGACCACGAGGCAGGCCAAGAAGACGATAGAGAGATAATACCCAAACAGCCCTATAAACACTTGGTGTCACCAACTGGAAAGAGAAGTTACAACCAGAAAGATAAATGAAGGCATGTGATATCTGAAGGAAGGAAACTCAAGGGCAACCTGAATGCCGACGAAAAATATAGTGTTTTATAAATATATATTTATATATATATTAGCTGTATAAATAGTTAGGAAATGAGAACTTCAAAATAATATTTTAAGCTTTCTCAGCTAACTGTGTTTGGCATAACCCCCCCCCCCCTTTCCCCCCCCCCTTTCCACCAATCATTTCTCCCTCTCCGTAGGATTGAAAAATCATCACCAGGTGAAAGTATTAAAATAGAAATTGTTAGGAAATGAGAACTTTAAAAAATATTTTAAGCTCTCTCATCTAACTGTGTCTGGCATACACCCCACCCCCTTTATTATATCTCCCTCTCCGGATGATTGAAAAATCACCACCTGGCAAAATTATTAAAATAGAAATAGTTAAGAAATTCTTCTTCTTCTTCTTCTTTGCGTTCGGTTTCGTATGCTCAGATCAGACCATCAGGTGGGTTGCCTCTATGAACTCGCATGTCAGCTGCAGGTCCTGCATGGTTCCCCATAGCTTGCTTTGCACACTCTGCTCTTGAGGCCAGGTGTCTTTTCGAAGTTGCAGGTAGAGTGGGCAGGTCTGCAGAATGTGCTGAGGTGTTTAGGGTCCTATTTGACAGGCACACTGAGGAAGGGGGTGGGGGGTTGCTGTACAATCTTTATTTTGGTTAAGAAATGAGAACTTTAAAATAATATTTCAAGCTCTCTCAGCTAACTGTGTCTAGCATACACCCCCCCCCCCCCCCCGAATCATATCATCCTCTCTGAAGGATGGGAAAGTCACCGTGTAACGAAATATTGTAACTAAATTGAGCTTGGCATCCGTGTCCACCCAGACTTAAATAGGTAGCATTAACTTGTACAGAGAAGTAAATGTAGCCAGTGTAACAGCTACCACATCACTGATCCAGTACCAGTACTACTGCAACCACTACCATTAGCACTACCACTACCACCATCACAACAACAACAACAAAAACTGTCACTACGGTCTGTGTAGACCGGTGTAAAAAAAGTAGAGTTAGCGCCGCATGCTGTCGCCACGTACTATTTAGTTTAATTACGCCCACGATATAGAAAAAAAAACTTCACGTAACCAGTGATGGAACCCACTGTGAAAATTACACTATACTCACCAATAGCGGAGAAAAATACCACGCACCCGTCATCTCTCCCTCTCCGAGGGAACGATTTTTAACTGACCTTGGCATCCGTGTCCACTCAAACTAAACTGGACTGTGAGGTTTCTGTCATCGCCGAATAGTTTTTGATCGAGAAGCGTCGCGGGGAGGCTAATTAGGACTTAACTGAAATCGGATGTCTTTGGGCGAAAGGCGCAGATATCGCAGCCTAACTGTAAACCACAACACAACTTGGCAACCACCTTTTTAAGGGAAAAGAACAATTATCACCTAGCATGGAATCGAACACCAGTCACTCGCGTGAAGAATGAAATACTTACAACTATACTACCGAAGACTGAAGAGTTTAGGTCAGATATCGCAGCCTAGCTGTAAACCACAACACAACGTGCCAGTGGCCTTCTCGAGGGCGAACGAAGATTACCCGTGACATGACCATTTAGCAGCACGTCGCCGCTGTCGCAGGCTAGCTGTAAACCCCAAAACCGAAAAAAGGTGTAGATATGCAGCCTAGCCATAAACCACAACACAACGTGCCAGTAATGTCCGAGTCTATATTTAACAAACTCGGAAAATTGACATTCATAGATATTCAAGTTTGGTCAACGTCTTCCTCAGACGGAATTTGTAAAATTTCAGTTATATTTTAACTCATCTGCAAATTTCTCTGAATGGATGTTTCTTGTAATCTTTCTCTATTGTACTCTGGATGTGATCTTTGCAACTTGGTGTAGAAGGATCTGTTTAACACTTGATTTTTAATTTCGCTCCTACTAAGTAGTGGTCACCATGACACTTAGCTTCTATATAGCTTCTAGCTTGTTGTATGTTCGATGCATTTCTAATTATTTATTAAAATGTGATCTATCTGATTATAAGTTATCCTGTCACATGATTGCCAGGTTTGTTTGTGTATATCTGTAAAACTTTATCTCGTCAAGAAACATTTACTGATGACTGTGTGTTGTTTTTTTTTAAACTGCATGAAATAAAACTGATCTTGAACGCAAATTCGCATTCGCTACGCGTAACTGCTCAGTCTACAGACTTCACCGAAGTCACTGCATGGATAATTTTTTTTCGTTCATACAAGAGACGAGGAAGATTACTTTTGCTTAGCATTGCTACTAATGATTGAAAACGGCGGTAAACTTCAGATTTCGTATTGTTTCTACGCAGAGATTTACTACAACAGTTTATATCGTATACGTTTGAACCAATTCAGTTAGTAATTGGCGTCTACAGCGTTGCAAGTATTATTGTGTAAGTTGTGCTGTTTTCTTCCTCATTATTCTTTCCCTGAAAAAGTCTACTCTCTCTCTCTCTCTCTCTCTCTCTCTCTCTCTCTCTCTCTCTCTCTCTCTCTCTCTCTCTCTGCCCCCCCCCCCCAACTCTTCCTCTTTTTCTTCCTACTCTTAACATTCAACGTCTTTCTGCTTATCCTTCTCTTCTTTTTTGCCGCTCCTCGTTGTTTTGTTTTGTTTAATCCTTGTATGCGTCCTTACATTTTTTGGTAAAAAATTACTATAAAACTGAACATGTGGTCTCATAAAATAGCAGGGCGGTGTTGTTACGCATTTCGAAAAAATCTAAACAACAATCCATCTCTCGTTCTCTCTCCCTCCCTGTGTGTATTCGCGCGCGCGTCTCTCTCTCCCTCTCTCTCTCTCTCTCTCTCTCTCTCTATATATATATATATATATATATATATATATATATATATATATATATATATATATATATATATATATATATATTTACAAATATATATATATATATATATATATATATATATATATATATATATATATATATATATATATATATATCTTTCTTTCTCTCTCGTTTATTCTCTACACGTAACAAATGATTTATAAACATCGTTTTCAGACTCCAGATTAAGAAGACCAGTTTCTAACGACATCCTTGATCTGTACAGAATGCAAGTCCCGTCTCTTGGAGGTTGTATGTCTTTTGTAAATAACTAATGTCCCAACTGCTTTTTAGCTTGCTTTTTTTTCTATATTTAATAGTGGCTGTCATCATAGTTATCAACACTGATCTTTACAAATTCTCATGGATTTATTACAATTGATACGCTTGACTATTTTGGAGTGTTAAAAGTAAAGTAAAGGACCCTCTACCACTCCTTTGGGCGTATTGGGCATAGAGGGCAAGACTTACATCTCGTAGAGCAACTGGCATTCAGTCAGTGAAGTGGTTAACATCACACCGACCGCTTTTACTTTCCATGATCTTTACCTGATACTCATTTAAGGCTGGGTCGACTTGGTATCCAGGGTCATTTTGAAAAAAAGTCGGACTCCGTCAGAACCCTCCGGCGATCGATTTGGAAAGGGTGTGTGGGTTTTGATCCTTGGAGAATCACTATATGTGTTTTAACGTCACATACCTGTACCATCGCCTTCTCTAGAAAACGCCTTCCGACTGTTTTTGTATGAAAATTGTGAATAAGGATCAGCCTCTCGACTGGCACAAGAACGGGAATATCCGTTAACCTAGCTGGTCTATAAATAGAGTCAGCCGTGCCTGTACCCACGAATACTCCTCTGGTAACTTGTCTGGTCTGAATTGTGAAACCACCTAAAGCACACAAGAGGCGTGTGAGTGAGCGTGGGTTGTGAAAGTATATATCGTCATGCGATTAGCCGCCAGAGTTGCTCAGAATGGAATTGTTTGTCTGCCCATGTCCAGTTACAGAGTGGCTAGGCTGAATGAGAAATAAATGTAGATACTGGAATTATCCTACCGTTGAGTAGATTTTTTTTCGGCCAAGCGTACCGTTGAGTACATTATTTCTCATAAGCACACCGTTGAGTAGATTCTTTCTTTTAAGCGTGCCACTGAGAAGTGTTATTCTTCTAAGCGTACCGTTGAGTAGATTCTTTCTTTTAAGCGTGCCACTGAGAAGTGTTATTCTTCTAAGCGTACCGTTGAGTAGATTCTTTTTTTTTAAGCGTTCCGTTAAGTAGATTCATTCTCCTAAGCGTACTGTTTAGTAAATTCTTTCTTTTAAGCCTACCGTTAAGTAGATTCCTTCTCCTACGCGTATCGTTGAGTAGATTTTGAGCACACAGTTAAGTACATTCATTCTCCTAAGCGTACCGTTGAGCAGATTCTTTCTTCTAAGCTTACCGTTAGGTAGATTCATTCTCCTAAGCGTACCGTTGAGCAGATTCTTTCTTCTAAGCTTACCGTTAGGTAGATTCATTCTCCTAAGCGTACCGTTGAGCAGATTCTTTCTTCTAAGCTTACCGTTAGGTAGATTCATTCTCCTAAGCGTACTATCAACAGTAGATTGTTGAGTAGATTCTTTCTTTTAAGCGTACCGTTAAGTAGATTCCTTCTCCTAAGCGTGTCTATTTTTCTAAACGTATATTTAAGTAGACTATTTTTTTCTAAACGTACCGTTAAGTAGACTATTTTTTATATAAGCGTACCATTAAGTAGACTATTTTTTATATAAGCGTACCGTTAAGTAGACTATTTTTCATATGCGTACCATTGAGTAGATTCTTTCTTCTAAGCGTACCGTTGAGTAGATTCATTCTCCTAAGCGTACCGTTGAGTAAATTATTTCTCTTAAGCGTACCGTTGAGTAAATTCTTCCTCAATATAATAGCATTTTATTACTTTATCTGTCTCATCCTAATCTTTGTCACGTGAAAAGGTCTAATTTATGCCTTGAACACACGGTACTGACACCATATGGATATAGTTCCACTCGGTGCTCAATAGGTGATGTGGTCGCTATCGCAATGGGAGTCTTTATTTCTCGTGACATTTTATGCTACTCATTGAGTCTGTCTGTGATTATTTGTAATTTCTTTCCCCTTTCAAATGCTACCTGGATGGGAGTCCGAACCGATTACCACAAAGTGGTAGATAAGAGTGCTAGCTACGTTCATTAACATGATACAATTCTTCTTACTTCTTTTCATCCCTTTTTTCTTTATTCTAATAATCTCCTACATTCTTCCTCCACTTGTATTCTTCCTCCTCTTTCTTTTCTTCACTTCTCTTTGTGTCTGTTTCTTCGAAATCCGTCTTCGCCTAATGTACTGCAAATTCTTTCAATTAAACTATTTAAATTTTCTGTCTGCATAACTGTACAGCCGCGTATCTTTATTTTTACGCCCTTCTGGCAAACTGTTTATTAATCTGTCTGCCTGGCAACATCCGCTCTCTCTCTCTCTCTCTCTCTCTCTCTCTCTCTCTCCATTTATCTCCCGTTCTTTCTCTCCTCTCTTACCCCCATCCCCCCCCCCCCCTCCCCACACCACAAATCTCAAGAGACAGGTACAAAATCTCAGAGTAATTTCTATTCAACCTTCTCTCTGACTAGGCTCCAGTTTTTATCTGAAGAGAAATCTGAAAGATGTTTTACCCCGGGCGCTGAACGAAGTTTGCCAGGTAAACCATCGTGTGTATTCTTGTTGTACTAGGGGCTACGCATGAATGACTTTCTACCCCACCAGGACATCACACAAGCGATAAACACACGATGACACAATGTGCCACCATGCGGATAAGGATCACCGTGGAGAGGTCCCAGAAACCGCGTTCAGCCATTAGGCCATATTTATGACCGGGCTATATTGCGTGCGGCCCCTGGCCCAAATTGCATCTCACAAGGAGATGACAAGATGAGCACCAGAGGCTACTCACTCGTGTATCTATTTATAGGCCGTAGTGAACGGGCAGTCACAGACCTGGCTAGCGTTGACAGGAACCCCCGGCTTGTCAACAGATGTGAAGCTCCCGTGCACCAGTCATGTTCTGAGCGCAGAAAAGGACAAGATAGTTCTGCAACACAGTCCACCTTGAGATGCTAGTTCAGTACTCGGCCGAGAGTCAAGTCGTTATCAGTGCTTAGACGGTCTTGATGTCAACGCATTTGATATTAGAATTAGAATTTAGTCATGAGTTTTTTTCTCCAAATAAATTACCAAGACCATTTTTTTTTTTTTAGCCACAAGACATTTTCAAGGTAAGAACAGATGCCTGACTATATAAGACTTCTTATAACCCATTGCACACAGAGAGAAATCTCGTAGCGGTAGGTAGGCAAGTTGTACCTCACCAGGACATTACACAAGCGATAATTACCCGGTGACACAAAGTGTCACCATGCGGATGAGCATCACCCGTGGAGATGTCTTGGAAACCCCGTTCAGCCTTTAAGCCATATTTAAGGCCCGGCTATATTTGGGGCCCCCGGCTAAAGCCAGGGTGGGGCTTCGAAATAAGTAACAGTTGCATCCCACAGGGGGATGACAGTAATAACTCGTAGAGGAAGGTGCTGCTTCAGAAACTGTTTAGCCATTGTTTCAATAGTGGGTAAACCGACACAAGCATAAACAGGAAAATTGATACATAAACCTGATGTAATCCTTAAGAAAAAAAAAAATAATTTTAATAAAATGTTGAATTAAGAATCGACATTATAGCACTCGGATCACCACCATAAGGGCCCCATCCCTATCTTCAGCAGTAAGGGAAGTGTTCCAATTCCAGTGGTACCGGCACCTGTCTGTATCTCCGTCTCGCCCTTCCATTGAGTGTTGAACGTCGGCCAGATACCATGGTAACACGCCATTCTCCTCAGACCGTAGTTATCTATTAGTGCCTTCTGTTTTAATTACTAGTAGCTTAAATTGTTGTAGTTAACGTTTGATCTATTTACTCAAAAACTTAAATCCACTTTCTTGTTTTACTTTGCGCGAAATGACTAACAAAACATCGTCGGCGCTGCGCTTGCAACAGTGCTCCTTCTTCCTCATGGGCGGCTTCCTATCTTGGACTTGCTCATAACAGCTAAACACCGTGTCAAGAGAAACGTAAAACTTACAGTTTCATACAAGGATTTTGAAAACTTTGCATAAGCTAGAGAATGGCTATTTAATAAGTTTATTGATTAATGTAATTCAGCGTACATGTATAAACAAAGAATTAAAGGTGGGGGAGGGGGGCGGAGGAGGGTCGCATTATATTAAACGTTATCGATTATATGGAGTCAAATATGGGGTGGTGCCGTTTTGTAGTACAGAAGAAGAATGTACTGCCAATTATTTTTAGTACAGGTGTTCTTTCATGCCATAATCCTAGTCTGTCCAACATCTCCCTCCCCTCTTCGCTTCTGTTGGTTGTTCTGTTGCCACAGCCAATTCCACTTTTATCCTTTACACGATATGATAAAACAATATGGATTGTTCCTATTGATGAAGAAGACCACAAAGAAGATATGATGATGAGACACTCGTTTATAAAATAAATTCCTCATTGTTGACATCTCTTTGTTCAGGCTCGTCCCAGGGACCCAATCGAGTTTTTGGCCAGGTGTCTGTACAAGGCTGCGGATTGTGACTTATACTTCCAAGAAAAGGCGATTTTTGAAGCAGTAAGTCAGCCACAAGTTAATTTTCGTCACACTTGATGTGTGTGTGTGTGTGTGTGTGCGTGTATATGTGTATATATATATATATATATATATATATATATATATATATATATATATATATATATATATATTAGACCCTCTGCCTGCCGACCAAGCCTAATATGGGTACCAGTTAGTGCCCTGGGAAGTAAAGGCGTCCGGCGTGATGTTCACGACATCACCATCCACGTGTTCCCATTGTGGGGAAAACAAAAATAGACCCACTGCCTCCCAACAAGCATGTCGTAGGAGTCGGCTAAATTGGGGCATTCTTCAAAGTCGGAATGCCTGAGAGGCAAGGAACCAGCAGTCTGCATTAAAACAAGCAAGATCTGTAAAACGGATGCACAGGCAAAACTCAGGTCCTGGAAAAAGCCAAAGTCCAGAAATCGACGAATAACCAGTTCTTTCCGCATGGGTTAACAGCCGGTGAACGCCGAAACGACAATTGCATCATCCATCAAGTCCTGATAGACGATGTTCAAGTGGGACTCGCCCCGGACGATTTTCTGTCTAATTATTTACGTATCTACATGCAGCCATGCATCGGTAAGGCACGCTCACATTTACATGCATGTTTTTAAAATGGTAGAAAATTCTAGTGAAGAGAAAAAGTTGGTAAGAAAGAACAAAAAGTTTATGTTAGCTTTACAAATCGATCACAATAAACAAACAAAGGACGTTGCGGCGATTAGCCTTCATCAGCACATAAAGAACACAGTACACATACACAAATATGCTCTAACTATTAAGTTACTTCATAGGACTCTAATGTACAAAATAAATGATACTCATCTGTTCCCTGGCGAAAAGACTGTTTAAGACGATGACTAGGACTAGCCTATATATCACCAACTCGCGGACGGGGAGCGAAAAATTGGGTCAGTATGTCTGGGAAATGGGCGTAGTAGACGCCAACAGGTACAACAGCGTACACTGAGTGTCTAAAGAGGGAGGGCACATGCATGAACTTTCCACACACATTCATGGGTAAGCGTTAAAGAGATAATGTGCTTACTTGCTAATCTGGAAGAACCGGGTTCGAGTCTACCAGTAACGTGCCCCAGTCCAAGACATCTTGCCCATATTAAAGTCTTGTTGAAACTGTGGCATGAGGTCACTCTGCTGTCCAGTTCTCTGCAGTCACGTTCACTTCAGCAGACATCTGAACCGTCATGTTCCTTGTGTTTCTTGCACTTCTTCTTTGACCCTGGATACATTACGAGAATACCGTTATACAACACACAAAAAATGATACATGGATAATGTGCTTGAATGTCGAGTCAATAATCCGAATTCAGACCAGAGAAGTGCCAGGATTTAATCTAGACCTGTATTTCTCTGGGCTCGACCCTGCCCTAAAACAAAAGTGGGTACAATTTCACACAGCAGCACTGATCGAACGAAAGAGCTAAATTTATTTTCAAAGGGTTACAAAGTGGGCACATAGGTCCGTCTTACATTCGGCCCTTCCAAACACTCATCTTTCACAGAGACTTTGTATTTTACCAATAAAGCATGTTATGTTCATCCGATGGGCAAACCAAGCATTGTGACAGCTAGTCCGATTCTCTTTGCATAAAACAATCTTGAACATCACCGAACGAAAAGTATATTAGTAAGCTTCACAATATAAAAAATACAAACAAAACGTGAACGTTGCGGCTATGTAGCCTTCATCAGCACATTTACAAATCAAACAATACCACACAAATACACAAAATCACTTAGCTGGTATCTGAAAGCAGCCGAGTCGATGACTTCTCAGCAGGCTGAACATCACAGAGAAACATCTCACACAAAGTATATTCATTCACACTCTATCCTACAAGTGCCAGACATGGTCATTCACACATATACAAAACACACACACACAAAAGAAAATAAATAACAATGAAAATGAGATGTCTGATAAGACTGGATGAGTCACCAGACGACATAGAAAACAGGAATTATGCCGTAAAAGAAAAATTCAGCACATAACCTGTTCTAAATTACATACAAGGACAGCAAATCAAATGGTTTTCCCCACTTAGAATGTCTTGTGACGCTATACAGTACAAGTCATACACAAACAGAAGGAGATGGACATACAACATACTGTAGACCAAGAACAATGTGGAAAGACAACATTAGAGAAACTACAAAAATACAATGTGACTTACGTCGAGGCGGTCAAGGGCAAGAAACAGAACCGTATATTTCACTCGATACACGAAGCGGTAAGAAAGGAAATAAAGAAGAAGAAGAAGAGAAGAAGAAGAAGAAGAAGAAGAAGAAGAAGAAGAAGAAGAAGAAGAAGAAGAAGAAGAAGAAGAAGAAGAAGAAGAAGAAGAAGAAGAAGAAGAAGAAGAAGAAGAAGAAGAAGAAGAAGAAGAAGAAGAAGAAGAAGAAGAAGAGGAAGAAGAAGAAGAAGAAGAAGAAGAAGAAGAAGAAGAAGAAGAAGAAGAAGAAGAAGAAGAAGAAGAAGAAGAAGAAGAAGAAGAAGAAGAAGAAGAAGAAGGCATTCACATGGCGTTAGGGTAGAATATTCTAAGTTTGATGCTATATTTTTAATTTCTGTTAACTTCAAACTAATATGACGCAGAGCTATTAAAACTCTCACGCATTTTTGTTCCCTTATTTAAATTTCGTTATCTCTTCCCTCCATCTCATTATCTTCTTCTTTCCCCTATGACTTTTTAGAACCGATTGCTGTGGCCCGCTTTTCAGTGTTTTCAACAGTTACCTTACTTCAACTTCATTTTGATTTAAGAGCACTGACTTGATTTCTTTACTTAAATATTACATAACCATTTTTAGAAAAGCGTGAATCAAGCAAAGGAGAAATGTGGACGTACTACTAGGTCTAAAACAGAAGAATTGCTCAAACAGTATTATGTGTCGTAACTAAAGTACCTTGGGAACGTGCGATGAGGTGCATACGGTAGCAGAGGATATGGTAATTTTGCCTTGAGTTGGTTGATGGCCTATGATCCATTGGGAGATAAAAGTGCAGAAGAAGTATTTGGTGTAGTCGTCAAGGATGCCCCAGTTATAACTGGGTTTGCTCAGTTGGACTGAAATCAAAAGACAACTCCGATTCGCAGTCGTATCACATTTTAAGTTGTCGGCATGAGTTTGGGATAGCGAGAAAGGGTGGGTGCCGCCAGTCAGTCAACGATGGCCATAATACAGCCAAAATAATCAACCTCAATTGCCGCCCCTATCCCGATCTCATAAGCATTATTTATCATTACTGTTGCACAGGAAAAGCGAATGTTGGAGATTCAGTTGAAGAGGGAGGAGCAACAAAGACAGACCGCCATGTTACGATATAAGAAACAGATTTCAGAGCATCGGGTAATACTTCGTGAACGTGTCCGATTCTCCTTCTTCTTCTTTATCATCGTTTGTCTGAGTAACCTGTGTTTTGCCAGTTTGCAACATAGCTGCGATATTTGCGCCTGTCAGCCGACACAACCGGGCATTTATTCACCGGGTTGGCCTTCCTGGACGTGTCCGTTTGACGAGCGCTGTATTTTTTTTTTTTTTAATTCAAGTAATTAAAACAATGTATACTTTTTTTATTAGATGACATCTGTGGACTTTGGAAAATTAAAAAAAAAAAACGATAGAACGAATTACTGTTGCAATGGTCAAGATGCTGTGCTCCAGAAGATGTCAATCACTTGCTGCGTTCATTATTTCTTTCAGCCTTAAACAACATTTGATGTGAGATTAGCTGTTCTGTGAATCCCAACTAATTTTAGATTTTGCATTTGGTCACAGGTGACTCAAGAAACGTAACTTATTCTGTATTTAGCGTCTTTAAAAGTAATACACTCATAATTCTCCGATTTGTTGCTTTTAACCTTTAAACATCTTGGAAACCTGCTGTTGCTGAAAGAGTTAATACACAGTACTAGGATATTCTAACAGTCTCAACGGCACTTTGGACAAAATTGTCAATCAGGCTAACAGTAGTGTCGGCGAAAAATCAACCCCTCCCCCCCCCCCCCCCAATAAAGATATAGATTACAAATTATCTACTAGTAGTACTCTGGTATCAACATATCTTCCCGAATGGATGTGATATATATAGCAAGGGAAAGACGTGAAAGATACTGTTGTCCCTAAGGTGTGAAGTGTTGTCTCTACACCATATTTTTGCCCACGGCAGGAGGTGAAATCACAAATTCACTTTTTCATTGCCTTTCCTTTCCTGAACATCCGGAAAATTGCCTAGTACCAGTTTATAAAGGCTGCTTCATTTATGATTGCACTTGTCCGATATATAGGAAATGGTGGAAAGTGGTGTTGGAGGGCTTAGGGTGGTTGGGGAGGGGGGGGGGAGGGGGGGAACTGTTTTATAAATGCTTTTTGTTTATTCTTTTTGTGTGATGTATAAGAGGGTACAGAGACTGGGGCACTTATGGTTTCTGTTTTTTAATATATAGGAGGGGGAGAGACTGGAGCACAACTGACTGTATGTGTATGATTTATTTGAGGGGGTAGAGAGTAGGGTTGTACCGAATAGTGATTTTCACTATTCGGCCGAATACGAATACAAATAGTGTGTCATCCTCATCAGGCGCCTTGTCGACTGGCGTGTGCGATTATGCCTCGCCACAGTTTGCGATCTGCTGCAGCATGTAATAGTTCGTGTGCTGACACACCTCCATGCCATACAACAGGACTGTCAAGAATCTTCTAAAATTACATTTTCGAAGCCTCAAGAAATTGTTTGGCCTGCCTACCAATTGTCCAGGACTCACAACCCTATGTTAAAACTGGATGTATGTAGCAAATAAGAATTCTTTTTCTAACCTTTAATGACAAAGATATATTGCATAAGATGTTTTTCATTTTATAAAATGTAGTTTTTGCCTGTTGCCTATCCTCTTTTCGACAGTGGCCAGGAAAGACAATTTAAATTTTAACTTTTAAGTGCTCTTCACGCCTTCTTTAATAATGTCACAATAGGAATAAACTCATAGGGAGCAAGTACAGCAGGGATCTACCAGTCATCAGTAGAAGTTATCTTCGTCGAGAAACGTTTCGGTCCACAATCTCCTAGTCGTTTTCAGAGGTGGGCCCACCTGAGTTCAGGAAGCTCAGGGCTGGTACCCTGCTGCACGAAATTACCGGATGGTGTTTTTCTTTCGGATAGGGACAAGACGACTTGGTGGTTTCGCAGAAGGTACTGTGGGATAAGAAGCCGCCGCGGTAGCCTAATTACAACAGTCAGCATACCTGGACGACCGAGCGACAAGCTTACGATTGGTTTACCGGACACATGTTGGACTTTTGTTAGCAGGTGGCAGAGGATCACTGGCAGACAATTCGGACACGATGGACTTTCAAAGGGTGAGAAACCCTTTTCCACTAGAAACCCGGACCAGCTCACCGAGGCCCGTCCCCTACGTTGTTTCGTTGCGTCCAAAGCCAGCTCGAGGCCCTTTCGGCTACCTTGCCCAGTTTTTTAATTGTTCGTTTCCGTTCATTACCGCGCAATCCTAGTTCTTTAATCACATTGTACAGTAAAGTGGAGACGAGACCTCGTACCGTGTACGCCTCGTCTCTCCTCAGACCGGCTGCTAAATCACAGTATTTCTCGAGCTTGTACGTGTGATTTTCGTCCAAACGCGACTCAAACGGGACGGTGAGCTCAATCAGGATGAGCTGCCGTTTCTCCGCAGAGTGGAGAACTATGTCAGGTCGCAGGCCGGTCTTCCGGATTAACTCAGCGTACCTTTCATGGCCTGGCAGATCAACCGCCAGTAACCAGTCCCTCGCAGAGTCTAGCATAGATGGAGCGAATGCGCTTCGGTTGACCTTGCCTTTTTGAATCTGCCCAGCCTTGAGGAAACGTATGGGGACGATAGTAGAACTGGCTCTAGCGTTAGCCCTCATTCTAGCCTGGTCAACAACGGCTGCTAACTCTTTTAGCACCAGGTATATCGGCCTTGACCTAGGGCTTTCCTGCACGCGAACAGGACGTGCTCAAGAGTCTGCTTCGCTTTGCACAACGGGCAAGTCGGATCGTTAGTCGCAGACCATTTAACCATGTTAACACCGGACGCCTCGACAGTCGGTTTGAGTGTAACCCATTATCCCCCTCAATTATAGTGCGTTCTGCGCAGATTCAATCGCATCGAGGACTCTCCACTTCTGCCCAGTCTTGAGAGCGGGCTGGACAGCGATGACATTTGGGTCTGAAGACTCGCGCAAGAGTATGGCGAGTCTTACTTTGCCAACTTTGAACTCTTCGGTTATTGATTTGAACAGAAGTACTAGCTTTGCCTGCTTACAATACAGAGCCACGTCGGTCAGACAAGGCGGTGCACCAATCCACTTTCTCAAGGCTGTGTTGATTTTCCTCTCCATGGTTTCCACTGCAGTCATCGTCACCTCGTAGACTAACAGTGGCCATAGGAGCTTCGGAATCAACATGAATTGGAGACACCATACCTTGAATTTCCCGATCAGCCTGCAACGCTCGATCGCGAGCAGGCCTGTAGCCAGTGACTCGTGTATTCGCCGGACCTCCGCTCTATCAGATACTTCGAATCGTAAACGCGACCGAGGCTCTTCACCGGTTCCTCCAGAACCGTGGGGATCTTGTTCCTTGCCACCTTAAAACTGGTTGCCGACACCTTGCCCTTAAGGATTGACAGACTCCTCGACTTCTGCGGTTTGAACTGCATTCCGCTCCATTGGACCACCGCGTCCAATATTCCCAGGATCGTGCGGGCAGACTCCTCGCTGCCCGTAATTAAAGTCGTGTCATCCATAATAGCGCGTAGTGACGGCATCCAGTGATCCCCTATTTGAAGGCCTTGTCCGTAGCCGGCCGCCCCGTCTAACATGATCTGCATGGCCATGACAAACAGTATTGGTGAGATCAAACACCCCATAGCTATCCCAATTTGTAGTCATCTTTTGTAGTCATCTGTAACTATCCCAATTTGTAGTCAACTTTTAAGTGCTCTTCACGCCTTCTTTATTAATGTCACAATTTATAGCCGACTTTTCTTGATTTTCGAAAGCGGCACCCCTGGCATACGCACCCAGTTTGAGAATCTCTGCTGTAATGCCTCGGTCGAGTCAGCAGGCAAAGACCTTGCGAGCTGCTGTACCACACAACCGGGTAGCAGTTTCCCCCCTACGACAGGCTTAGGCAACAGCAACTATTGTGTTAATGAGAGAGTTGTTTCAGTCCTTCGCAGTGTATGCTTACTGGATAACCACTATTCGTATTCGGCCCGACCGCGACTATTCGGCCGAATACCGAATAGTTATTCGGTCCACTATTCGGCCCCGAAGCGAATACGAAGCGAATATTCGGTACAGCCCTAGTAGAGAGTGGAGCACAAACGATTGTATTTGTGTGATATATACGAGTGTAAAGAGACGGGAGCACAACTGACTGTATGTGTATGATATATACGAGGGTGGAGAGACTGGAGCACAAATGACTGTATGTGTATGATATATATGAGGGTAGAGAGACTGGGGCACAACTGACTGTATGTGTATGATATATATGAGGGTGTAGAGACTGGAGCACAACTGACTGTATGTGTATGATATATATGAGGGTGTAGAGACTGGAGCACAACTGACTGTATGTGTATGATATATATGAGGGTGGAGAGACTGGAGCACAACTGACTGTATGTGTATGATATATATGAGGGTGGAGAGACTGGTGCACAACTGACTGTATGTGTATGATATATATGAGGATGGAGAGACTGGAGCACAACTGACTGTATGTGTATGATATATATGAGGGTGGAGAGACTGGTGCACAACTGACTGTATGTGTATGATATATATGAGGGTGGAGAGACTGGTGCACAACTGACTGTATGTGTATGATATATATGAGGGTGTAGAGACTGGAGCACAACTGACTGTATGTGTATGATATATATGAGGGTGGAGAGACTGGAGCACAACTGACTGTATGTGTATGATATATATGAGGGTGGAGAGACTGGAGCACAACTGACTGTATGTGTATGATATACATGAGGGTGTAGAGACTGGGGCACAACTGACTGTATGTGTATGATATATATGAGGGTGTAGAGACTGGAGCACAACTGACTGTATGTGTATGATATATATGAGGGTGTAGAGACTGGAGCACAACTGACTGTATGTGTATGATATATATGAGGGTGTAGAGACTGGGGCACAACTGACTGTATGTGTATGATATATATGAGGGTGTAGAGACTGGAGCACAACTGACTGTATGTGTATGATATATATGAGGGTGTAGAGACTGGTGCACAACTGACTGTATGTGTATGATATATATGAGGGTGTAGAGACTGGAGCACAACTGACTGTATGTGTATGATATATATGAGGGTGTAGAGACTGGGGCACAACTGACTGTATCTGTATGATATATATGAGGGGGGAGAGACTGGGGCACAACTGACTGTATGTGTATAATATATATGAGGGGGGAGAGACTGGGGCACAAATGATTGTATTTGTATGATATATAAGAGGGTTGAGAGACTGGAGCACAAATGATTGTATTAGTATGATATATAGGAGTGTAATTGCAGCATATATTATTGTATTTGTATGATATATAGGAGTGTAATTGCAGCATAGATTATTGTATTTGTATGATATATAAGAGTGTAATTGCAGCACAGATATTATATTTGTATGATATATAAGAGGGTGGAGACTGGAGCACAAATTATTTTATTTGTATTATATATATGATGTTGGACAGACTGGGGCACTTATGGTATTCGTTTGTTTTATCTACAGAGACTGGAGCACAAATGATTGTATTTGTATGATATACAGGAGTGTAATTGCAGCATAGATTATTGTATTTGTATGATATATAAGAGTGTAATTGCAGCATAGATGATTATATTTGTATGATATATAAGAGTGTAATTGCAGCACAGATGATTATATTTGTATGATATATAAGAGGGTGGAGACTGGAGCACAAATTATTGTATTTGTATCATATATGATATATAGAAATAGACTCGAACACTAATGGAAATATCCATTTGCAAAGACAGTATTTCTCGTTTCCAGGACTTCCTTCACATCGGGGACAAGAAAGGCAAATCTAGCGTGGAAGCCAGAAGATACAACATACACCCTCGACATCGACGCCACCCAGTTAGCACTGACAAGAAGAAAGACAGTGTCGACCAGAAAGAGGGACGCCGCGAAACAGCAAGACTGTCATTTTTTCAAGGCAGGGAATTTGGATCGACTTTGGAAAGTACTCCTATAAATGTTTCTCCAGAATCTGAGACGTTAAGAAGTGCCTCGAGGGGCGCCAGCGGTGCTTCTCCAACGAAGTCCTCTATTTTTAGAAAGGGGGGCTTGCCAGCCGGTGAGTCTCGTAGTGTTGTCTCCGTACAGAGGGACAGCCGATCGAGCAGCCGTACACTAGAGGATGACGTCTTAGAAAGAAATCCCAGCACGTTGACAAGCAGCAGTAGAACAATTAGTAGGCTAGCGTCATTCGGTGATGAAATCAACATAAGGGATTCGCGGAGCCCACCTTCAGACTTATACGAGACAGGAGAAACACCAAAACGGGACAGTCTTGTGAGACGTACACCTAGAAGAAAATCGAAGACTGTTGGCGATGAAACCAAACAAATTAGATCACGATCAGGGAGTGTGGTGAAAAGAAAAAAGAAAACGAAGCAGCGAAGTTCCTCCACAGACCTAACACTGGGCTCCTTTGAGGTAGAAGATAAAGGCAAGTTAAAAGATGATTCTGAGGCGGGGGTCAGTAGTAAACGACGGAGACATAAGAAGAGAGGCAGTATAAAGCCAACAAATACGGACAATTTTCAAGATGGATTCCCTGAAAATATGACAATGGAGGAAATATATGAGTGGCAGCTAGAGGATCAGACTAAAAAAACCGCGGAAGAGACACGCAGAGCTCGCGGAGCTTCAAAGAGGAAAAAAAGTGTTGACAAGAAAAAATCACGAACAGTTGAACAGTTAAAGGTCAGCAAAGAAACGGGCTCAGACGAGGAGCGAGAGTCTGATGAATCTGCATCGGATATTCAAGGTAAACCCGATGCCCATAGCGAGGAAGTCAGTGACGATGAAGACGCCGAACAGAGGAGGCGCAGAAAAGAGGAACCCCGGCAACAAGCCTTGACTGAGCAGGAGGAATATGAGTTGCAAAGGATGACTGGTGTAAAGAAAACAAAAAGAAGAGTAGCTGACGCAACAAAACGTTCCACTCGTATCAAAGAATTCCCAAAAGGCGAAGAAGAACATGGACAAGAAGATACGGCTACAGTCAGCCGTCGAATTAACGTCAGTGACAGTAAACTAGACAAAGATGTTAAAAGACGACATCGACGACGAATTACAAAGACAGGTACGGAATCTTCGGATGCGGAAGAATCACTGGAGTCAGCTCGCAGATCACGCATGGGAACACCGCCCCCAACCAGAGAAATGTCACTCGAAGATACGGTGCGAAAACGTGCTAGTAAAAAAAGCAAGCAACATCGTAGACGTTCGTTCTCCAAGCGGAAACATTCGTTGGGCGAAAGTGAAAGCATGAGGTCATTCGGTCAAACTTCGGATATATCTGACACAGAAACAGTCGACTACTTGTCTGATACGTCACATCGTCCGTCTGACCGAACGACATTCGCGATAACGGAAGAAGAGTACGCCTACCCGTTTACTCCCGTGGAGTGCGAATGGCTGCTGTTGGACTCAAACACACTAGTATGTCGCCACCCAGTCTTGGGAGATATTCGCTCCCGTCCACAGAGCAATTCGTATGCACTAGGTGAGTCTTTACGTTAATTCTATGTCTTCTTCTTGTGTGCGTGATGTTTATGAACTCTTTGTTGCTACATAAAGGTATAACAAAAACCAGTTCAATAATCACATTCTTATAGGAAGACAAACAGTGCAAATCCTAAATACCGTTTTCGATCTCCAAAGAAGTTATAATTGGCGCACTCGTAACGGCCATACTAGTCTAGTGTGACATGAGGGTATTCATTTTCGTTGTATTTTTTTAGCCGTCAGTTTTAGTTTTATGCTTACACTAGTAGATGTCGGTTCTAGCAGAACTCTTTCGAATCACTGTTAGTGTCACGTCTGCTATTTGAAAGTGTTTCCGGTTCAAGCCTCCATTGATAGTTTTGTCTCGATTTATGGTGCTGGGTGGGTGGTTTCTATTTCAATGAACATCTGGGTGGGTCGGCTGTATAAGTATATCATTCTTTTTTTTTTTTAGTATCCAGAAACCATGAGTTATTAACCCTTCGGCTCGGTACTATGGATATCGCAACCTTTCGGCCTTGATTCCATGATAGATACCGTAAATCTGGGAGAAATGTGGCTTTTCTGCCGCCCCCGGGCGTGAACCTGGACCACAAGGAGTTCGGTCGCCGCGCAGAGGGTTTTAACCAACTGCCTAGCGAGCTGGCAAGTTATCATTCAGGTGCTCCAAAACCTAGGGGTTTGGGCATCTTCAGCTCGCCACCCCCCCCCCCCCCCCCACCATGATGTAGAAATTTTCACTTTATAAGTTTGTGTTTAAATGTATGTTTTTGAAAATTTTATATTTATCGCAGTTCAACACCTTATTATTACTATACACCTTAAACAATACTTAGGTTCTTCACCCAGCTCCCCCCCCCCACCCCTAAAAGAATGTGTGTCTTCCCCTCCTCCCCGGACTGTACTGACAATGTTACGTTCGGGAGCAGTTTTCAGTTTCGCCTAGGCTTGTGGAGCTCTGATCCATATAGTATCGACATTTTTAATGTATACACAGAGTTGTGGCAATAGAGACAGTGAGCATAGAGAGAATCTTGACTTTTGCTGACGATGTCTTAGTCTACACACAGGGCAGAAGTAGAATAGAAAAGCAGTATCTAGAGAACTGCAGTTCGCTATATATAATAAGGTCGGTGAGTGGTGTAAGGAAACAGGCTCGGTCATCGACCCAGATAAGGCGGCGGTAATGTGTTGTGCTTTAAATAATATAATTGTTTGAGATGGGTTGCCGGACATCACAATAGACGGCAGTAATATAAAGATGGATAATTCACTAAAATGAATGATTTTTGACCGGAGTCTGTCTTTCCGACACCATGTGTGTTGTTAACCCTTAGGCTCGGTATTATGGATATCGCAACCTTTCGGCCTTGATTCCATTGTAAATACCGTAAATCTGGGAGAAAATGTGGCTTTTCTGCCTACCCCCGGGAGTGAACCCGGACCACAAGGAGTTCGTCACCCGCTCACCGCGCAATCCGGTTTAGCCAACTACGCTAGAGAGCCGGGCCGACACCATGTGGAAGAGGTAGTTTTAAAGATAGAGAAAGGACTCATTGCATTGAAGGTGATGGCACAGAACAGAAAATGCTCTCCGAGCAACTGATTATTTTGCTGATGAAGTATGGTTTAAGGCTGCCAACATGAACTAGTACCCAAATAGAGGAGTTGGAAAGCATACAAAATGAAGCCATGCGGGTAATTTTTGAGTGTGCACGAAACACGTCAGGCTTGTACGTGTGGGACATACTTGCATTACCATCTGTATATGAGAGAAACAAGGTTTTGCAGGCCATATGATACTTTAAAGTAGCAACGGGCAGGAAAATCTTTCTGCATGAGGTCTTGGGCGATCGCAAGGGACAACGGCTGAAAGGAGGTGACTCTTGGATGGCACAGGCATAAGTCACGATTAGAACTTAAATTTGAAGTTACCCTGGTAAGTCACGTGACTACGGTGAGCTTCCGACGGCCATGAAACAGAGAAAATGTATGGAAGAAACTATTCGCATTTCAGTTGAATTTATTCAGTTTTGTGCTTTATTTTTTTGTAGTAACGCACCTGATGAGATCCAGCAAAATATGCCTTGCAAAATGTGCAATGTATTGTTTGTATCCGCATTATTTGAACGATTCCAACTGTCTGTGCTATGGCGCGTTGTGAAGAATAGGTTGCAGTGCCGTTCAGGAAAACAGACTTGTACAGAATGATATTTACCTTAACCGAGAGTGCCAGGAATTGATACCTGGTGAAACAGACAGCGGTGCAAGAGCTGTGCAATGATAATTGACGCCCAGATGACTTTATAATACACACAGATGGGTCTGTAGTGAGAGGTAAGAAGAGCGTGTGGGGTTTTGTTGCAAAAGTGAATGGACACTGCTTGAAAACAGAGGTTTAATAAACAAACAGACAATGTACTGCAGATAGTCTACTGATCGGCACACATAGAAAGAAGTAGAAAGATTAGACACACTAGACAACGTAAAAAATCTAGAACTTTAGTTACTATGGCAGGAATCGAACCTGTCATCTCCAAATGGCGTGGGCATATAGCCGTGGAAAAAAGTGTACATGATCAGCCAGGCAACCCTAAAAACGTGTCCTTATTTGCCATGTCTGCCGTACGACTTGAAATCCACAACTATGGGAAACGGATCAAATTAATCTCAAACCATTGAAATGGCACCATATGTCACACACATTTAAATTAACCAAGCATAGGTCGAATAACAAACACAGCAACAATATACAAACGCATCAGACCGTAATGCTTTGTCTAGAATACAACAAACATTTAAGAAAGAGATTTGATTGGTAGGTTCATTATGTTGCACGTAATACACATAAATAAACAGAGGGGTGAGGCCGTAGAAACATTACATATAAATATATAAAAGGACAATGTCTTGATCGGCACTCTTAGAAAGAAGTAGAAAGGTAGAAGGAAACATTCATCATCATCATCACCACCATCATGTGCCCTGTCAACTGGCGGAGGCGCTCATGCATCTCCACAGATCACGGTCCCTGTTTCTCTTGATGATATCCCTCCATGCCATCGTTTCAGCCCATCCAACATCATCTCTCCTAGTCTGCCTCTACGCCTCTGTCTGTTGATCTTTCCAGTTGGAAAAAGGACACATTAGACAATATAAAAATCGAAAGCTATCGTAACCGCATATTTATATGTTGGAAACAGAGAGCCTCGCGAACATCACTACATCCAGTAAGAGAATGGAGTTGGAGGAGGTAACGGCAGCTTTCTGGTGGCTTCAACAGCTTGCCCAAATATTTAACATTGAGTGGGAAACAGGGGCGAACTTTTAATCAGGTTGCAACCGGTACTGTTAACATGTAAACTGGGAGCGAACTTTTAATCAGGTTGCAGCCTGTACTGTTAACACGTAAAATCGGGGCGAACTTTTAATCAGGTTGCAACCGGTACTGTTTACATGTAAACTGGGGGCGAACTTTTAATCAGGTTGCAACTGGTACTATTAACATGTAAACTGGGGGCGAACTTTTAATCAGGTTGCAGCCAGTACTAAACATGTAAACTCGGAGCGAACTTTTAATCAGGTTGCAACCGGTACTATTAATATGTAAACTCGGGGTGAACTTTTAATCAGGTTGCAGTCGGTACTAAACATGTAAACTCGGGGTGAACTTTTAATCAGGTTGCAACCGGTACTGTTAACATGTAAACTCTTGACTGGTTACTGAAGAATGGAACGGAGCACAATGGGAATGACCCGAGTGCCGCGTTGACAGTTCTTGATTCATTCATCCATTCTTGTTCAGTGGCTTGGCTGCCTTCGGGGTGTTCACTTTCCAAGATCAATATTAGGATAGTACTCGTTAGAAAGTTGCTTTTTTGCAGATGATGCTGCAATTAAAGCACACAAATACAGTAATTCACGCACGTGTGGAGATTGTTCGGAAATCAGTTCGCAGGTGCAGCGACGCATGGTGATTATTTTGATAGCCTATCTCCCACTCAATGAAAAATCCGCAACTCACAGGAGATGACCACCTGGGAGTAAAATGGCTGCAATTTTATGTCTTGAAAAGTTTCGTTTACTCAGCAAGCACGCTGATTGTTTGCCTTGAATGTGTCTTCGTTTTTCTTCTTCATATACCGCAAATAAGGCAAAATAAAAACGCATCATCATCATGTAGCAGGTCCTTTGCGGAACGTCACTCTCATCACGGTCTGCCTAAAAGAAACCAGTTCTCTCGCCAGCTCTCCCGCCTCATGTACTTTCATACTCAAGGAGTCACTTATACCCTGTGCCTATCTTCGTGTCGGTCGGCCCCTGCACCTTTTTCCTGATACCATTTCTTCTGCTATTATTTTTTTTTTTTCAATCCGTCGTGGCGCTTGATATGACCAAAATATTTCATCTTCCGAGACAGGAAACTGTTTATTAGCTGATCTTCCTTGATGTTCAGATCTTTCAAGATGTCAGTATTTCTCCTCTTCTTTGTCCAGGATATTCTGAGAATCTTAAATGAAATCTAGATGTTCGTTTCAATTTTAACCCCCCCCCCCCCCCCCCCCCCAAAAAAAAATAATAATAATCGTACAATGACATGAATATTAACAGACTGCATGCCAAATTTCACCAACTTAAACCGAACAGTTACTGAGTTACAGATCTTTTAGGCAGGACAAGACTTCTGGAGCGGACTATAAAGCGTTATGTACGTTCACAAAATAAATTTTAATATTTCAGATGTCAGTGCATGGGCTGACCGAGAAAACTACAACTGGCGCGCTATCTATGATCATGAAATATATGTGGTTGTAGAACCATACATCGAAGACTACAGATTTAAACGGAAACACAAGTGACAGTGATCTCTTTGTGTGGGCACATAGAAAGTAAGAAGTCTAGTCTTTCTTTTTTTAGTTCTTTACCTTCATTTTACTCCATCTCGGGAGCTCCGAGATTTCCTGGGGAATTCCTGGGAAAGTCTAATATTATAGGAGGGTTAGGGTTAATGTTAGTAGGCGTTCATTTCAGACCCTAACAACCGTACACTATTGGACCTTCCCGGGAATTCCCCCACGAAATCTCGCAGTCCCCGATACGGGGTGAAACAAAAGAAAAAAGCTGCCATTGTATTTGTCACTTCTCTTCCAGGTCAATGTAAGAGTGACCACACCAGTCATGCAGCAGTGTTTGGTCATGGAGATGTGGTTCTAGAGTTATACACCCAATATGCTAGGATGAGACCGCTCCGGGTACTTTCAGACAATAAAGGACTCTTTCCCACGCTTTCAGGCATTCAGGGTTAGACCTTATTTTATAGACCAATCGACACTTAGTGGGTGATGTGGCCAGCATCACGCCGAATGCCATGACAATTTTGGTTTTGGTCATCTGTGAGGCATCTCATTTACCTTGTTTTGGGCAAATTCCTCTTCTTTGCGTTCGGTTACGTATGCTCAGATCAGACCATCAGGTGGGTTGCCTCTATGAACTCGCATGTCAGCTACAGGTCTTGCATGGTTCTCAGTAGCTTGCTCTGCACACTTTGCTCTTGAGGCCAGGTGTCTTTTCGGAGTTGCAGGTAGAGTGGGCAGGTCTGCAGAATGTGCTGAGGTGTTTGTGGTCCTGTTTGACAGGCACACTGTGGGAACTGTACAATCTTTATTTAATGCATGTGGTAGTTGAGCCTGCAGTGTCCTGTTCGTAGACGGAAAATTGTTGTATGTTGCTTTCTGTTGAGCCTGCTGATGGGGTCTTGTGGATGTTTACTGTTAGTTTGTTCTCTCCACAATCCCTTGTATTTTCCTTTGATAAGTGTTTCGATTTCTGGTAATGACAATAAATGGGCGTGTTGTTTCTCCTTTGTTCCATTTTTTGCAAGTCTGCTAACTCATTTCCTGGTATGCCGCAGTGAGCCGGGATCCACTGGAGAACGATTTGATTGTTTTCTGATGGGTCAGTTCTCTCTCCGTGTTGTAACATGGATCCCTATGAGTCGCCTGGAGGACTAACATGCAGTCACAACGGAAAACAATTTTGCTGTTTTTAATTTTTCTTTCCTCGAGCACTTTGGCTGAATCAATAATTGCTTGCTGCTCTGCTCTGAAGTTTGTTGAGTCTTCCAGAGGCGCATGACGTTTTTTTTTTTTTTTTTATTGTGGTCCCATCTTGCAGCATGATGACCGATCCAGCTCCTCCGTTTTTGTCTGCTTCCTCCAATGATCCATCGGTGTATACATGTGTCCATTCGGGTTTTGGATAACAGTTGTGGACATGTTTAAGGGTCTTTGCATGCAGTACTAGGTCACATTCTTCAGCCTTTCTGTCTATGCCTGGAATTGTTGTTGTGACTGTATAGTTAGGCTGTAGGTCTATACTGTATGCCTGGATCATTTTCCATGTTGAAGGATCCTTAGAAAGGATGTCACTTTTTTTTTTTTGGTAGAACAATTTTGATAGATGGTGAAAGCTTTGTCTTTTCAGTCGGTTTTTTGTTCAGTTATTTGCTATTCTGTGCATGGGGTTGTTGTTCATGCGTTTACATTTTTCTGTTAGGTTAAGCACCTTTTCTTTCCTTCGATGGCTCAAGCTTTGTAGGCCACAGGTTGCCTCCGGCCCATGAATTGGTGTGCTTCTCATACCTCCAGTGATGTTCTGAGACCATTGTTCTGTATTTTATCCAGTTTGTGTAGGTTTGATTTGGCTGCAGTGGAGTATGCTCCCATGCCATACTCCAGTTTTGGTCGTACGTACCCAGAGTATACTTGTCATACAGTGTTGGCATCTGCACCCCAGCTGGTTCCAGTAAGTTTCTTCATAAGTCTGAGCCTCAGGGTAGCTTTTCTTTGGATGTCTTCAATGAGGGGACTGAAGGTTAGCCTTTTGCCAAATTTTACTCCCAAATATGTGAGGTTATCCTCTTTTGGAAGCATGTTGCCTTCTAGGTACAAATCAACTTGTTCTGGCTTTGTGGAAAGAGAGAAAAAAGTTTAGTCGGTTTTGGTCTGGTTTATTGTGACTCCCCAAAAGTATGTCTATTTCTTAACTGTATTTATAGCTTCCTGCATTCTTGTTTTGGTTGTTCCGCTTGAGTCTATATGGCCTTGTGAATGTTTGTCGTGGTCCAGGTGCCTTCCTTTTCGTAAGGCTTCTTAATGCGTATTCAAGTTCTTGGGGACTAAAGAGTTTATTCATTATATCTTGGTTATCTTCTTGCTTTTCATTGATTTTCCTCAGTTCTCTCATCACTTCTTCTTCTCTCGCTCTAGACATGAAGATTTTGCTTTCCTCTGCAAATCTATCAGCCAGTAGGTTTGCTGCTTGTTTACCAATGAAAGTTTTCCCACCATCTTCAATGACACTGTGGGCACGGCTGGTATTATTCTCCTCATTGAGACTCTTTACTAGATGCCATAGCTTTTTTCTATCTTTCTCCTTGTTGAGAGCTGCAGTCTTGTCCTGCCATCTTGTCCGGATGCACGTTTTAGCAACTAAAGACCAGGTGAACTACTACAAGTAATGCACCACATGCGACACCATGACTCTTATTAGGTGTGTGCTACTAGATCCATTTTAGACTTATCAACATTCGAGTGGTAATGTACACAGTATCACAGCTTGTGTTTTTTTTTTTTTTTTGGCACACATTTGAGACTAGGCCAACCTGTCAGTGTCCCTACCTTTAAGAGAAATCAAACACATGGCAACATGCCAGTGTGATAAATCAATCAAAACTGTTTGTGTGAAGTTTTAGCATAAAGAAAACCAAACCACACATCTCTTAACTCCTCATGTTGGTTCTGAGACTCCATTTTGGAGAACAAAGAATAGACCCACAGCACCCCCCCCCCCCCAGGTGCATGCCGTAGGTTGCGATTAATTAGGGGTGTTAACCTCACAGTGGGAATGCATCTGCCTAAGAGGCAAGGAACCCACAATCTGTAAAGAAATGTCAGATTTGTAATACGCAAAACACAAGTTCTGAATCAATACTGAAATCGACAAGTGGACAACCAGAACCTTCTGTCGGAGTTTACAGCTGGTAAATGCTAAGAAGAAGAAGAATACCTCTAAACATGATCTGGGAGTTAAGCCTGTTGAAGCATCTAAGTGCCATTGTCGAGGTCAGGACAGGAGACATTGTAACAAACTCTCATGGGAGCGTTCAGGGGAGGTACCTTGGACTGGATGCTGCATGGAGATATGAGCACACATGGAAATGCCCAATGTGAGCGATGTTGATTGTGATAATGTAACATCGTTCAGTCAGCAATGTCCTCGTGTGGTGTTCTAGGCCCTTCTTGTAGGAGAAAACAAGAATAGACCCACTGCCTCCCCAAAACTCATGTTGTAGAAGTTGACTACCTGGGGGCATTCTTGGGAATCAGAGGGCATATGCCTTAGAGGCAGGGGACCAACAGTCTGCATTCAGAAATGCTAGATCTGTAAAACAGACGTTCACACAACATTCAGGTTCTGAAGCAAGACTAAATCCAGGTGGATGAACAACCAGAACTTTAGTTGCAGTTTACAGCCAGTGAATGCAATGTTAGTAATGTATGAACTTTTCACATTACCATTACATGCTTTAATATTATACCATCCATGTGTTACTGGGAAACATAGAGAAGCAGAGAATAGTACGGTAAACCCTCATTAACAAGAACTCACCTAACAAGAACAAAATGCTGCCACCGGCCGGGATGTATTATTTCTTATAACAAGTATTGCCTGTCAATGCACATTTCTGTTTAGCACAAACTATGAACTGCATTATATTTCACTGCGTCACTAGATCTGGTTTAAACCAAACTTCTAAAGCTGTTAATAATTTGTTTTCTCAACTGTTCCTCTGGTAGATATGTAAGAAATGAAAATAAGCACTGCTATGATAACATTCACTAAAAATAACATACATGGGGGTTTCCTTCTCAACAAGTTGCTTTTTTCTTTTTAAACAGAAATTACAACATGGCATTCATCATAGTTAAGGGGTCAAGTATGAGTCACTATAGCAATTTTTTTTTAATGTGCTCAACAAGATGAAACCCAAATAATTCCCTGCTGTGTTCATGTGAGGAAAAAAAATCTTTAGCATTACAGTAAAAAAAAAAAAATTCTGGGGACCTGTGTAAAAATAGCCTTTTGAAGTCTGATTTCTTTCCCCTTGTAAATTCATGGAATAATGGATTGCATTTTTTTAGGTCACCGGTGATGAAAGGTTTGTTTTGTATATTTGTTAAATGTAGCGAGGACAAAAGTAACATCGAGATTCAACACTTCCAAGCAGTAAGAGGGGAGTCATGACCAAGAGGAAGCAGACCGGCACAGATCTGCAAATAGAACTAAAAATATAAAATAATACTAGCGTTTGATTCCGGTGGTGGATGGTTCTCATGAAGAAAAACAATTTTCATGTAGCTTTCAGTCAGTTGTATGTGGTTTGCACCATGGAAGAAACTGGGAGCTCACCATGTAACACTTCCAAAGACAGCAAGGGTACACTGTAGACAGTCTTCATTGTGGAGAGGGTTACACTTAAATTTGAGACCCCCCGGTTAGCATGGATTTTGATTAACACAATCTTTTTTTTTCTGTCCCTTGGAGTTCATGTTAACATGGGTTACAATATAAGCAATACAGTAACCATCAAATGCATGTCATAAGAGGCCACTAAGAACATTGGTCATTAGACTACCTTATCCCTAGAAAAGATTAGCTGCAAAATACAAAATCATGAACAAGTACACAGGCATTACATGTATTGGTTTGAAACTATACTCCATGGAAGGTTTAAAGGTAGAAGAGAAGAAGCATGTTGGTGTGGCATGAGTTAGTTGAGCGTCAATGCTCTACTGGAGGTTTAGAATGTTGAATTAAGAATCAACATCACAGCACTCGGGACACCCCCATAAGCGCTCCATCCCCCTCTTCAGCAGCAAGCAAAGAGATAAAATTCTGATGGTACCAGTAACTGTCTGATTATACATCCATCTCATCTTTTCCCTGAGTGTAGAGCGTCGACACTCAGGGAAAAGTTTAGGAGGTTTTAAAGTTTTAAAGGTTTAGATGAGGATCAGGAAGACAAAAAAATAATTTTTTTTTTTTTTTACTGTTTGGCAAATGCTTCTGACCATTGTTTTCTACAGGCAGAGATCTACAATATCAAAGCTACCTGGCATCTAACCACAACACCACTGTTTTCACCGAACATGCCAAAATTGTATACATATTTCTTTTTTATACGCATTTATTTCATTGCTTTTAATATTCTTGCTTGTTTATACATTAATCTTGCTGGGTTTTGTTTTAATTTCATTATAAGGCAGAATGAGAAAATTAAACAGGCATTTGCTACTTGTCAGTCGTTGATACTTTACTCGGATTTCTTCTTTGTTTAAAAAAAAGGAAAAATTAATAATAAATGTATGACTATATAATTTGTCTGTCAAAAGATAAATGATCAGATAGGTTATATTACAAAAGAGCAAATGATAAATTCAAACAAACATGTGTATCTTCTTTGCGTTCACCAGGTGTAAAGTTCTGGTTGTTCGTCCACTTCTGGACTGCAGTCCTGTCCCAGAACCTGAGTGTTGTGTGTGCATACATTTGACAGATCTGACACATTTGTGTGCAGACTGTTGGTTCCTTGCCTCTCAGGCAGATGCACTCCGACTTCGAAGGAAGCTCCTAATCAGTCCAATTTTTACGACATGCTTTTGGGTAGACAGTGGGTCTACTCTTGTTTTCCCTAAAATAGGGCCCCGGAACCCAGACTGGGGACATGTGTATCTATTGTGTACGTGTTTCTGATCTTACACAATCAAATGTGTATTCTGGTACAATTTAACGTAACATAACTCCTCTAATCTTCTTTGCCCATTTTCTCTTATATAATAAATGTTATGTAATACATAATCTTATAGAGGAGGGAGCCTGAAGACAACTTATTACAGACATCAGAAGGAGACAGTCATCATTTTTGGGCCATGTTATGAGAAGAGGGAAAATATAACATGTGGTGACCACTGGAAAGATCCGTGGAAGGAGGGATAGAGGAGGACAACGAGAGAAGATTCTTGACAGTCTGTTGCATGGCATGGAGGTGTGTCAGCACACGAACTGATACATGCTGCAGGAGATCGCAGATTGTGGCGAGGCAAAATCGCCAACACCAGTCAGCAAGGCACCTGATGATGATGATACACTATTCGTATTCGTATTCGTATTGGGCCGAATAGTTGGTCCCACTATTCGTATTCGGCCTTGCCGACAGTTTGTGTTGTACAAGTATTCTGCTGACAAAGACTTTAGTCAAAATGTCTGTTTGCATTTGTACATGTCCTCCGACTAGCTTTCTAGTTCCATGTTTATGTTGTATTGAGCATTCTATATGTAACATTATATGCCTCTCCTATTTGGTAAAATTTAATTTTAATCTAACATGATCCGACTTAACTAATCAATCCAACTAACTAATTTCCTGTGTGGGTTCTGATGCGCTACAACTACAACAGACCCACTGTCTCCCAATAAGCATGACGTGGGAGTCAACTAATTGGGAGCATTCTTTGAAGTTGTAGTACATCTGCCAAAGAGGCAAGGAACCACACATCTGTATACAAAGAAAACCAGATCTGTAAAAAGGATGTGCACACAACACTCAGGTTCTGGAGCAAGAATAAAGTCTGGAGGTGGATGAACAACCAGAACTTTCTGCAGGATTTTACAGCTGGTGAACGTGAAGAAGAAGAATCCAACTAATAATCCTATATTGAACAAGATCATAAACAAGACACACTGTTCAGCACCATGTACCTCAAAACAAAACAAAAAACACCTCAAGACTGTGCCAAAGTGAACAAGTGCTGATCACTATCTTATTTTATTAGAATCATAAACACAGTTAAGACATCCCGGTCCACTGCAGTGAAATGTAAAACACCTTTTTACTTCTGTCCAGTGAACACAGTAACGCAGTCTTTCGCACATTTGAGGCCTGTCTGCCATAAGTAATAATGTCAAGGCTGGGCAACGCTTCTGCTTGACTCTTACAGACTGCGATGTAGTGGGAATGATATCTGGCAGGGTCACCTGTGAAAATAGACACATTCAAATACAGGCTGTTATACAAGAGCACATCATTTCCCACTCCCAACAGGCGGTTAACAAGACTGCGCCTAGAGGGACATAGAAACAAGGCTGTACCTAGAGGGACATGGAAACAAGGCTGTACCTAGAGGGATATGGAAACAAGACTGTGCCTAGAGGGACATGTGAACAAGACTGTACCTAGAGAGACATGGAAACAAAACTGTTTACTAGAGGTAGATAGAAACAAGACTGTACCTAGAGGGAGATGGAAACAAGACTGTACCTAGAGGGACATGGAAACAAGACTGTACCTAAAGGGAGATGGAAACAAGACTGCTCAGTGGGAGATAAAAACAGACTGTGCCTAGAAGGAGATGAAAACAAGACTGTGCTTAAAGGGAGATGGAAACAAGACAAGACTTACCTAGATGGAGATGGGAACAAGACTGTGCCTAGAGGAAGGTGGAAACAGACAGCGCCTAGAGGGAGATAGAAGCAAGACTGTGGCTTACAAAGTTAACTATGAATTATGCCTAGATAGAGCAAAAATACTAAAATTAGTTCGAACAAACTATGTTTACAAGAAGATAAACATAAGCATGACTTTTCAGTGTGGTCACTATACGCTGACGATTGTTGCCATTAGTAGCAGAAGTTTGAACCTTTTGTGACATTTAGTAGGATCTTTAAGCGAGGGACATCTGAATTTTTGCTGTCATACAGTAGGACTTTATTTTGTCATGAAACAGATATCTAAACCTCTAGACAACGAACTGGAATGTTCAAGGACTTTTGTGATTGGAACATGGAAAGCAAATGAACAGAAACATATAAGTACTTGGGTGCAAACTTCAACTGCTCCAACATGCTGAGAGAAGAAATACAATCTGGAAATAAAGTATACTATGCCCTTCAACATCTGCTAAAGTCAAAATGTATGTCTCGCAACACATGGATCAAAATATATACAACAATGATAACACTTTGAATGGTTCTAAACTTGGGGCACAACTAAAAGAGATGAAACCTTATTAAAAATTTTTTTAACACAGTCTTACGACGAATCTTTGGACCCATCACAAATGCAAACAGTGGGAAAGGGAGAGTGGGAAGCAACAACAAAATTCACAGCCCATTTAAATCACCACTAATCACTGGCATCATGAGAGCTAATAGACTGAAATGGTTGGGTCATATTGAGAGAATATCAGATGACAGAGAGGTAAAAACCGTATACACAACAAAGCTGAATGGTCAAAGATACAAGGCAGACCAAGATGATCGTGGAGAGATAATATTCACACAGAGCTACAAACATGTGGGTTACCAACTGGAGAGAGAAGGCCAACCAGAGAGTGGAGGCGGCTCGGAATACTGAAAAAAACAGAGGAGATACAGTAGGACACTTGATGGACAGACATCTGAACTTAAGCAACCAGTCCCGTACTGTAGATTTTCTCAGTATCATGCAAGTCTTTGAAATGCCGCCCCGCACCTTACAGCTTCACGCTGTCAGATCAAAAGTTCAAATTGTATTGTGAGCGACCACAGAGTAGGAGTCTCGGTTGACAGATGTTTGAACCAGGCTTTATCATATAAAGACATATTTGAAGCTGAATTTATCATTTGTATCACTTAGTAGGGTAGTTAGTGGACTTCATTTATGTTCCAGATGAGTTTTTCTTCTACATTATCACCCATACATGGGGGGGGGGGGGGGGGGGGGATGAATGCCAGAGAATTTTTGGGCACTGCATCTTTGAGGACATGAGTCGTGGCGTTGGCAGCAAGATGCCCCCCTTCGGATCGGAAGGCCGTGGGTTCGCGTCCTAACGAAGTCAGACTTTTTTTTAATGGCCTTGACTTTCAGGTCGACCCAGCCTTTAGTGGGTACCAGATGCAGTCCTGGAAAGTAAAGGTGGCCAGCGAGATTCTGATCACATCACCCGTAAAGTTTTGATTGGTCTATAAAAATATAGGTCTAGCCCTATTTTTCCAATATGCCTAAAGGTGAGGAGAAGGGACCGTAACATTTTTTTCCACATCTCTGGGGACCACCAACTCCAAGATACCCTGCCAGCTCTGTTTAGGCCAATACAGGTCATTATCTGTAGCACCCATCGAGCATGTGTGGCAGGCGTCTTGCATGAGGATCAGTAAAACCAGCAGAGTCTGCTGGTGGTATATAGAGTATCTCCTTACACAATTCACAATGACCTTAACTTTCCCCCACGCGTGACAGAAATCACCCTGCCACGCTAAACAGATACAAGAACAGGCACCAATCAGACTGTGCATGGGGAGGATATAAACATATTGTGTCTAAGCAAAAATATATATTCATTGCGTTGATGAAAGGCTATCATTCTGCTTTAAGGAAAGCACTAATAGAACTTTCTTGAACTCAAACAGAAACAAATTATCATAGTTGAACAAATGCTATTAGAGAAGATCACAATACAGTATCCTTTTTCTGCAGGCATAAATATGGTGATTTTCAAAGGGAGAATCAGTCTTTTAGGGTGATATAAACAGTTTATTCTTAGAAGGGAATGACAGACTGTGCCTCAAATGGAGTGATAATTATTCTTTATGGAGAAACAAAAACACTGTTATTTTAAGGAGACAAATAGATATTATATAAATAAAGCTCGCTGACTGACAGACAAACAGATGGTATATAGATAAAGCTCACTGACTGAGAGACAAACTGATGGTATATTGAGAAAGCTCACTGACAGAGACAAACTGATGGTATATTGAGAAAGCTCACTGACAGAGACAAACAGATGGTATATAGATAAAGCTCACTGACTGAGAGACAAAATGATGGTATATAGATAAAGCTCACTGACTGAGAGACAAAACGATGGTATATAGATAAAGCTCACTGACTGAGAGACAAAATGATGGTATATAGATAAAGCTCACTGACTGAGAGACAAAATGATGGTATACAGATAAAGCTCACTGACTGAGAGACAAACAAATAGTATATAAATAAAGCTCACTGACTGACTGAGAAAACTATGATCAAAAACAAACAAAACCAACAATAGGTTTACCTGGGTACACAAGAAAATCTCCTCCAAACTTCACACCAGATGTCAAGAAAAAGCCCTTCCCCCACAGATCCTTGAACACATGGTATCTGAGCACCTCCCGCTCGGTGGAAGGGTAGGCCCAGTCAAAATAGGGACGAATGGTTCGTTTCCATGGGTTTTCTGTTGACATTATTGAGAATCCAATAAGGTACTGACTTTTGAAATGCACCTGGCACCAAATTATTAGGCTAACCCAGGCAACAAATGCCTGCAGAAGTTGGATGTGCAAATATCACAGCCACATTGTAAAAGGGCCAAACACATTTATATCTTCAGATGAACACAGAATAAGACAAATGTAAATTATGCTTCAGACAAGGCACATGGTGATGATGATAAATGTTGAAGAAATTGTCCAGTGATAAATTCAGAAAATAGAATGGACACTAACTGTATATCTCTCACATAAATCTTCTGGTAGTTCATTCACCTCTGGACTTTAGTCTTGTTCCAAAACCTGAGTTTTGCATGCACATCTGTTTTACAGATCTGACTTATTTGTTCGCAGATTTTTGGTTCCGGGCCTCAGGCAGATGCACTCCAACTTAAAAAAAAGCCCCTAGTTAGTTGATTTACAACATGGCTGTTGGGGAGGCAGTGGGTCTATTCTAGTTTTTCCCATAATAAGGCCCTTGAACTCACATACATGACATGAAGATTATGGGAAAGATGTGTTTATAACATCACCAATAAGCTTGGCTGATTCATTATCTCACACAATCTTCTTCTTCTTGGCCACTTTTGGTATAGGGAAGATATAAGGTTCTGCTTCTTGCTCATATCACAAAAATCTCCATTCTCAAATCAAATCTGTTATCTGTGTCCTTGTCACAACAATACTATTTTTGTCGTCATCTAGGTATTTACTTGTATGTCTTCCAATTGTTCCTTTTCTATTAAATTTGTCAACTATCACTAAGTTTAAACTGTGGTTCTTTAGTGGCCAAAACACTATGAAGGCAAACAATATACAGTAAAATCTTCTCCGCGTGGGTCCCAGGGCCACATTGTGAGGAAAACAAGAACAGACCCACTGCCTCCCCAACACTTATGCCGTAGAAGTAAACTAATTCACGGCTTACTTTAAAATCGGAATGCATCTGCCTGAGAGGAACCAGCAATCTGCATACAATTAAGCCAGATCTTTTCAACAGATGTACAGGCAACACTTAGATTCTGAAACAAGACTGAAGTCCAGGGGAGGACAAACAACGATAACTTTCCGCTGAAGTTTACAGCCAGTGAACGCAAACAGGAAAAAGAAGACAGTCAAATCTCTTTAAAGAGATCAAAAAAATCATTTTGTTCAAGTTAACCAAATGTTTTTTGTATTTACAAGGTTTTACTGTATTTCACAATTTACTACCTGGCCATAAAGGCATATATGCCAAGAGAGAAGGTCACACAGCAATATGTAGACCAAGAACAATATGGAAAGATAATATCAGAGAAACTCTACAACAGCGTATTGAGTCTATGGTCGAGGCGGCAAGAAGAGTTAGAAGCAGCATCTTGTATCAAACTCGAGCAGTAAAAGAGAAGGTGAAGAAGAAAATGAAGTGTCTGGCATTTTGCTGTATCTTGTCAGGCAATTTACTACAGACTTTACATCAACATAAATGAATCACAAAACTTGAAGCCTCACCCTGCCTCTAATTCTCTTCTTTACGATTTTAGCCACATTCTATTTATTTGGCCCAGTGGGTTTCAGTGCCAAAATAATCTACTTACACTATTATCAGGCCTTCTCAGTGCATGTCACATTTAGAGTCTGTTGCTCATTCCTTGATTCACTAGAATTTGTTTGATTTCCCTCAAAGTTCCACTATAATCATTCTGCCTCATCATTTCATTCCTTCAATTCTGATTGATTCTTAATGTTGATATTATAATTCTAAAAACCACTTTCCATTCTATTAGGGGTTCTCTGCTTATTTCTATTACCACCATAGATTAATCAGTATTCAACATATGTTAACCAGTAATTATAAACAGTACATCCTAAGAACAAAGAGATGTATATAATAAATGAAACACACACACACACAGTCTTTGTCACTTTATGTTTTTAAAAACCTTCTTCTCAAAATCCATGCTATGTGGCATTGGTAGTCATGTCTATCCACAACCTTCCGTCACTTTATGTTTTTAAAAACCTTCTTCTCAAAATCCATGCTATGTGGCATTGGTAGTCATGTCTATCCACAAACTTCCGTCACTTTATGTTTTTAAAAACCTTCTTCTCAAAATCCATGCTATGTGGCATTGGTAGTCATGTCTATCCACAACCTTCCATCACTTTATGTTTTTAAAAACCTTCTTCTCAAAATCCATGCCATGTGGCATTGGTAGTCATGTCTATCCACAACCTTCCGTCTTGAGTATTTTCAATCAACTTTGACACAGATATCAGACTGTCCAGCATCTTTTCTCCTGGTCTTCCACCCCCCCCCCCCCCTCCTCCACTACAACTTTCCTCTTGTAACCATGTACTTCAGTTTCCTCCTTCTCATCACATGACCAAAAAGAATGTAGACTGTCTCTTTCTGATGTGGGCAATCAGTTCTCTTCGTGGGTCAGTTTCTTTCGAGACACCATTATTACCCTTTTTATCTGTCCAGGATATTCTCATCATTCATCTAGAAAACCACATCTCTGCAGCTTGAGAATGTTTCATTAATCTACTAACTGTCCATGATTCACTTCCGTATATCAAGAAAGGATTTACATAGGTTTTCAAAAATTCACAACACTATCTGATAATCAAGACTATTGAAAAAAAAAATTAATTTCAAATACACTATAAAAACTTATAATTAGCATATTAATGGAACTGCAGTAGCACAGTGGCTAGATTCACCTGTAGGCACAAAAGGTATTGAGTTTGAATCCACAGTAAATTGGATACATTTCAAAATTATCCTTGGCTCCTAGGTTGAACAAGCTTAAAATGAGTACCTGGTAAAGTCCTGGGAAATAAAGGCAGCTGGCTTGACAGTGACAACATCACCCACCGAGTGCTGATTGGTCTATAAAATATGAGTCTACCACCATATGCTCAATGTGCCATTGGCGTAAAAAAAGGTTCTTTGTTTTGACTTTACAATATTGAAAAGCCAAAAGTATTAGATAAATATTCAATATCAGAAAAGACAAAATCTAAATATCCTTAATATAACTCAGAAGGATTGAACAGGATATAGTTCAATATATTACTGCTACTAATAAACAGCATCCTTTCTCGAAAGCTGAAATATTTTGGTCATATCAAGCGCCACAACAGAATGGAAACAATTGTAGAAGAAGGCATGGTACCAGGAGGGGGGGGGGAGGGCAGAGGCCGACCGACATGAAGATGGGCACAGGATACAAGTGACTCCTTGAGTGTTAAAGTGCATGAGGTGGGAGAACTGGAGAGAGACCGAGTTTCTTTGAGGCAGACTGTGATGAGAGCGACGTTCTGCAAAGGACCTGCTACATGATGATGATGACTAGGAGTCATACATTTATTTCTCAGTCAAACAGAAACTTCAAGAAGAAATTCCCTTACCTGTAAAAATCTGGACCAAACAATGTTTCTCAGATGTGTCAGCAGTTTCCGAGATAATATCATCAACAGTCAAATCATCACCTCCAACATACTCTGTCTTGTTTTCTGAATCTTTTTCCTCTGTCACATGATCATTATCATCTTGTCCACTGGCTGTTTTCATCTGTTTTTCTACCACATTCCTACTGTCCAACTTGACGTCTGCAGCGTTGGTGGCTACTTCAATGTTTGTTGCACCTTTCTTGGGTTTTTGTTTCTTTGCTTTTTTCCCAGCAATGATGTCATTCATCCTCTTTTTGACATCTTCCTGTCTGGTTTCTTTAAAAAGTTGTTGCTGAAATATTGGGATAATTTTCTATTAGAAATGTTACGAATCGAAAAAAATATTAATATAAGTGCTTTTAAAGTAAATGTATTTGTAAATAAACAAACTTGATTCCCCATCAAAGTATAGTCCCCAAATGCATTCATAACAAGCTGTCCTTAACCATCTGGTGCAGCTCATTTCTTCTTCTCTAAATCTCATACACGTCTCAAATTCTTTTCCCTGCATATGTTTAGGCCGTCCTCTATTTTACCCTGTGGGTACAAGTACAACAAATATTCCAGCTATACTATTATCAGGGTTTCTCAATGCTTTATTTAGCTCTACCTTCTTTTCCCCAGAAACCAATTATGGTATTAAAAATAATAGACCGATGCAGGGGATTTAACCAGAATCAGTGCTTTCACGTGCACTAATGCAGCTTTTCTGAGTGTATTTACACGTCACCTTCTTCGTGGTCAATGGCTGTAAACTTCGGCTGTTTATCCACTTCTCGGTTTTGTTCCAAGGGTTCATTTTACGTTTTCTGGCCCAGAAAGAGACTGACTTTCCTTGACATTCATGCCTTGTCAGGTCACAGGATCTCTCCTATGTTGCAGGGGTGTCATGTTTTGCTTACTGTCAACGCTTAAACCATCCCTTCTTTTCTCGTGCTCTCACCACTTGCTTGCGTGATTATTTTCACTTTCTGCTACCTGCACGACGGTTTGGGAGTATGGAAACAGCGATATTTTTCTATTCCTAAGTTCTTTGTAAGCGATTTCTTTCTCTTGGGGAGGGAGCGGGGGGGGGGGGGCCACAGCCAATGAACGTAGAAATACAAAAACATCAAAAATCGTCACACCTGCAGTAGTTCTTACTTGTACACAGGCGCATGCAGCGCCTGAAATATACTCAAGACAACAAAACCTCCCCAAAACATTATATATGCCCAGCGAACGCCAAACCATTACACCCCTGTAACACAGAAGATGTTCCGCGACACGACGAATCATGAATGGCAAGGGAAGTCACTCTCTCTTTCTGTGATGAAAAAACGTAAAATGAACCGTTCCAGGATTTGAGTTTTGCATGTAAATCCATTTTACAGATCAGGGGGGGGAGGGGGGGGGGGGGGGGTGAAGAGGACGAATCTCAGCCAGAGAATTTAGGGTTGCACAACTAGGGCTGTTGTCACAAACTGTGCTGGTTAGAATTTTGATTTTTGCCCCTGACAGAAAAAACTTACTGAAGATTCAAACCTGGGTCTAGTGCATGACAGCCCAGCATTTTAACCACTCAACAATAACCACACATACTGTAAATACAGTGAAGGAAAAAAAAAAAACTTTGCTACTAACCCCTTTTCCCATAAGTGATGCCAGCATGGGAATGTCAAAAGAGCCTTAACTCTAAAAGATATGACCAATGGTGTATTTCTTCTTCTTCTTCTTCTTTGCATTCACCGGTTGTAAACTCCAGTGTAAAGTTCTGGTTGGTCGTCCATTTCTGGACTTTATTCTTGTTCTAGAACCGCAGTCCTGCATGCACATACGTTTCCAGATCTGGCCTATTTGTATGCAGACTCTTGGCTCATCACTTCCCAGGCAGATGCGCTCTAAAGGAAATCCCCAATTAGTCGACTCTTACAACATTCTTGTTGAGGGGGCAGTGGGTCTATTCTTACCTTTCCTATAATGAGGCCACAGAACCCACACAGAGAAATGGTGTACTGAATACCTGGATCTTTAAATTTGTGGCTCGAACATTCTGGATGGCAGCTTCTCGTATGCCAAGCACTTTCTCTGAAGGTGGCTCTTCTGTGACCACCACGGCAGCCTCTACAGTCAACACAAACAATGAAATGATTAGGTTCAAGTTTTACCCCTATCTTCTCTTAAAAGGAATTGAGAGTTTGTGAGTTTTCCTCTCTGAACTTGAATTACTGTTGAAGATTAATGGTTCGTTGTTTTGAAAGCTATGACATTACAAGTGAGGGAGGCAATAATACAGGGTTTCCAAAGAGATGGAATTAAAAGAGAAATGAAAACAATAAAAATGAGACTATAGAAATATTCTGGCCACTTTAAAAGACATACCACTCTTTAAAAAAAAAAAAACTACTAGAGGAAAAGTCAACGGCAAGTGAGAAAGAGGTAGATAAATAGTACAAATGATACATATGAATAGAAAACATCAAGCGATGGACGAACAGCAATCTCAGAGAGTACAATCAGGACAAGAGACAAACAGTGCTGCAGATTCTTTGCAAAAAACCTTCACTGTGAAGATGACACCTGACTGACATTGATGCTGTTTGTTTGCATTCACAGGCTGTAAACCATGGCAAAAAGATCTGGTTGTTTGTCCATTTCTGGACTTTGGCTTTGTTCCAGGACCTGAGTTTTGTGGGTTCATCCGTTTTACAGATCTTGCTTATCTGTATGCAAACTGTTGGTTCCTGGCCTCTCAGGCAGATGCACTCCTACTTTAAAGGAAGTCCACAATTAGTCGACTCTTATGACACGCTTGTTGGGGAGGCAGTCGGTCTATTCTTGTTATCCATATAATGGGACCCCCCAAAACCCAGATGGGAAACTGACATTCATAAAAGGGATAATTAAAATAACAGGGCAAAAGAAAACAAACACCAGTGGTTGGACTATCTGGAATGGTTACAGCCGACACAAAATTCATCTTAGTGTCAGGGAATGTAGGTGTAAAAAAAAAAATGAACAAGATAACTGTGGAGGGCAGATAAACAACGGACCAGGCTAAAATACTGAATGTTGAATTAAGAATAGACATCACAGCACCCAGGACACTACCATAAGCGCTGCGTCCCCCATTTTCAGCAGCAAAGAAAGAGTTCTAATTCCGATCACACCAGTAACTGTCTGACTGTATTTTCGCCTCGCCTTTCCCTAGAGTGTAACGCCTAACAGTGTTATTCTCCTCAGACTGTAATGATCTATCTGTGCCTCTGCACTGTTCTCTCACTCCCAAAGGGCTCTCACAACACCTAGCTTGTCAAACACCAATTCTCCACCAAGTGGTGCAGAACTGGCCAGTCTATCTGCCTGCTCATTTTCCAACACATTTTCCGGCATACCCTGAAGAAAATATCTAAAGGATGCTAACTACATGGGACCTCTGAAGTGATGCTTGCCAATCTGCAAGGAGCATGCATATCTCCGCCTTTTTTCAGCTAAAATACTGAACGCTCTACAAGAAGTATGATATTTGCAAATCATTAAATGATGACTGATTCTGCAACCATGACCAGACTGCAAGAACTCGCATATTTTTAGGGGTGAGGTTGTAGAAGAGCATCAAGCAGGAATTCAAAGAATTGTTTTAAAAAAAAAAACACACACACAAAAATAACAACAACAAAGAAGTGATGCTTTCAGCCACTACATGTTGTGAAATTAACTGATGTAATAAGTGGTGTGTGTTTCTTCTCGTTGTCTAGGTAGTGTTCATGCGTGTGTGGTGGATGATCTTCTCACACGCTCCATGTTACACAACTGGCACAAGCCGACACCGATGTGAGCTTACGAGACATGAATTTATTGACGTATTTACACTTACATACAAGAATGTCCGGTCGGTGTCCTAGCAAACAGCTCTCGTACCCAAACTCACGCAGCCTTCAACGAACAGTCTTCTTCAAGCATTCACTGACCAAAGTTGGCTCCCATGGATTCACGTTGAGGTTCTGGCCATCTCACACACTGGCATGGTCGATCTCGGCTTCACACTTCGTCAGCAGGGTCTCCTTTCTCCACAAGCACTCTCACGTTGACATTCTCACTTTCAGTCGCACGTCCTCTCACTCCAACAGGTCGACACAAACTAAACTTGACCAGAGTCAAGTTTGACTTATACCACGGGTTCGTTTCACGTGACAACACGTGGTAGTCCTTTACTTTTCACGTGGCGACCTTGGGTCGCATCATCGTGGTCCCCGTGATAACCAGTGGTTAGTCACCTATCTCCAGATTCTCGTTTAATCCAAGTATCTGGACTATCTCGGTGTTTTAGGTCAGCTTTGGGCCTTCCCCCCAACCATCCTAATCTGGGTGAAAATATCCCCCATTGCAACTGAGGAGGGGATCCATTCACTTATGGACTTTCCAATGTGTGTTCCGGGGCAAACAAGAATAGACCCAAAAAGCATGACATAAGAGTCGACTAATTAGAAGCTTCCTGCAGATGTAAAGTCGTTTCCCGACTTTACATCTGTCTGAGAGGCCAGATACCAACAATCTGCATGCAAATGAGTCAGACCTGTAAAACAGATGTGCACACAACACTAAGTTTCTGGAACAGGACTACAGTCCAGAAGTGGATGAACAACCAGAAATCTCCACCAGAGTTTACAGTCGGTGAACACAAAGAAAAAAAAAACTTATGAACTCTTTAGGTTCGAGATCCAATAGGAATAATCGTTGACTAACTAACTATAAAGAGTAGAAGAAGAAGATAACAGAATCACACACGGTCTTTCATAATGAGGCTCAATGAGAACATCTTACCTATATCAACTAACAGTTTAACTTCCTCTGGCATCAGCTGTAATGGAATCCCAAGATGACTATTTTGCCGAGGAGCTCGGGGAAGGCTGCCAGTCAGCTTCCCAACAATTCTACACTCCTCACGGAGCATGAGCACATCTGCAAAACAAATCAAGTAAACTTGACCAAATACAAATAAAAACTTGACCAATCTTTCCTCTAAGCTGTACTGAGTGATTAAAAAAAAATTATGTTTGTTGACCTAATTCTTATTTTTAAAACTGTGGAACACTTGATAGTTCAGTGTCTTTTCAATATTTTAAGTTCAGTTGTTTTTATTTCTTTGGACTTCAACAAACATTCTAGCTAACCGAAACCTCTTCTTGTCTATTTATTTAGTATTATTTTTATATCTATGTCTGTTCCCCTATAAAAATGTATTGTGTCTATTTTAAGTTTTACCACCCGCAATCACACTTTTCATGTTTGCAAACAATTTTCATCCTAATGTAATTTGGCTTTTGTTCAAACATGTTCCGATACTTGACACAAAGTGTCTAAAAAGTTGCCAGTACTCAGCACAATTACAGTGGCCAGGGCAGACGCAGAAAGTTAGCTTTAACGTAACTGACCTACAGGTTCTAGTGCAAAGACAAAGCTGATACTGGTTAATATTTTTATATGTTAATTAGGCCCATATTGCATTATATGCATTTGAGATATGCACATACAGATAGGCCTTAGAATTGATCTACAACTTCATTGAGGTATCATTAGATTTGATATTTTAATCTCTATCCAGTTGTGATAGTTTCATAAGTACAAACCCAATATATTATATAAAACTTCACTAGCATTCCCAGCTACACCTGATTAATAATAATTATTTTTTTTTAAATTGTGTCTAATTACCATCGGCATTCCACACAAAGAATGAACCATGGCAGTGAAAAATATTAATTTTTCCATCTAGAAGTGCACCAATGTCCTCGTCGCTCTCTTCGTCGGATTCTCCAAACTCAAACAAACCTTCGTCTACCTCATCATCCAGATCTTCTTCTTCATCTTCCAGATAGCTACCACTGCTGACCGTAACATCATTTATACCAGTAATTTCTTCTATCTCATCATTGTCAGCTTCGATAATTTCTAGTTCGTCGTCGATGTCACTGATTCCAAGAACGGACGGGGATATTAATGTTGCCTTTTTCGTGGATGCTTTCGGTGGGGTTGAGATCGCTTTTCTCTTTTTGGACTTGGAATTTGAAGCTCTTGCAGCTGGATGATTGGATGGTGGCGAGGGAGAATTTAACAAAAGCATGTCCTCATCAATGCAGCTTATGTCTTCGTCCATTTTGCTGCTGTCTGTGCCCAAATCCTTGCTAGAGTCAAAGTCAACCCCTAATATTTCATCTTCGCTTTTGTTATCCGAAGCCATGTTTCCGATAATGTAAATAATGAAATTAAGAACTAAGCATGAAAAGCTGTCAATAGAGTATTTGTAAACAAAATGCTTCCATCTTTTTAATGAAATTTCATAACTGCAGAACAACGCAAATTACCAAATATGTACGAAAATAAACGAAATTCGAAGCTATGTGTTTTGTTAACTCATATAAGCAATAATTTAAACAGTAACAGTACATTTAAGCACCATTGCGTCTTCTTGTAAATAATATACATGGCAAACATAAACCTACTAAAAAGTACCAGACTAGAAGGATAATATTATCACCTTTAACAGAAAATTAGAGTTACAGTTTTTCCCTCCCACACTGTTATGTAAAGTCTTGAGACCCCCGTGACCCAAAGATTAATAGTTTGGACGGCAAACAAACAGGACTATCCTATGAAACACATTCAACATACTAAGAATTATAATCAGGGCGCCTGTAACAGATATAAGAAATACTAAGCTGGTATACTCTGCTGCTCCCGGTGGGTAGGGAATTCTAAAGATTAGTCACTTACAACGCAATATTGTATCCTCTGTGTGAGTTCCGAGGCCCACTTTGGGAATGAGGAATAGATCCACTGTCCCTTAAAAAGCATTTTGTAAAATACTACTAATTAGGGGTTTTTTTTCCCCAAGTCGAAGTGCATTTGCGTGAGAGGCGAACAACCAGCAGTTTACATAATTAAAAAAAAAAAAAACAGATATACAAAACGCAAAACTAAGCTTCTGGAACCAGACCAAAGTCCAGAAGTGGACGAACAACTAAAACTTTCTGCAGGAGTTTACAGGTGGTGAAAGTTAGAAAGAAGAAAAATGCAATATTATAATATAGCTTCGCTGCAACACATTGCATGAAAACGATAAAATAATAACGAAATAAATTAAGCGAGCATAAATATAAGGAAATTCTATTTTTAAAAATAATATAAAAGAATAGGGAAGCATGAAACACTGGCAGAAACGACATGAATACAGATAAACAATACATATTTTTACTAACTATTTTTTTTTTATCAGGCTTTTAAAACAAATCCTACACATGACGCACACGCAAAAGTGAAAGCTCTGTACATAGTATACATTCAACTACAAGAATGGTTGCATATAAAATGATAATAATAAGCAAAATCCTACCCTTGTATTAAACATTTTAAAACACAAATAATATAGAGCTAAGTGAGAAATTAGATATAAAACAACAAAAGAAAAGAAATAACAAAGTAACAGATACACACATTCCTTCGGTAATTTTCGGCTATCATTCCTTCCCTCTCTATACCAAGTCACGTGACTGATTTGGCGCGCGCTAATGCCGACAAGAAGCAGGCGACTAAACAATAAAAGAGGATAAACTAAAGTTAATTCGCTGTGGATAACTTTTCTATACCTGAATATGGCTACGGAAGTTGATCAACGTCTCAGGGAAATCCAGCGGGAATATCTTGACTTCTTAGACGATGATGTAAGTATATTTTTTCTAAACTTATCTCATCTCATCTAACCACACATGTTATATTATATATTAAATAATTAGTAATAATACAATATTACTAATATTGTAACGGCAACGCTAACGATGAGAAACTACAAATGGGACTGGACTCCTCACACTCACATCAGAAGTCAGTGAACTCGATGATTGTCTTCAGGTTTTCTCTTACTCTTACTGTACTAGGTACTTTAACTTACATATCCACAGATCATTTCATTTCTCATGCATTCAACAAGCTAGTATACCATAAAACTGGCAGTTGTAAAATTGGCTATCCTCCGAACCGTAAAATTATTTAATGGCTTTAAATTACTAAATTGGGGGGGGGGGGGGTGTTTCTTAGCTAACTTAGGGCAGCAGTGATGATACTAAGACTTCAAATTCAATGCAAGAATGAGCAAATGGAACACAAGTCACAAGTGACAAAATGGTAATGCTGTCTCTATCACTATGGTCTATATATTTCTGAGAAAAGAACGACATACACACCAAAAAAAAAAAAAAAAAAAAAAAAAGTCAGACTCAGTCAATCCAATCACTTATCAGCATGTCCTGCTTTTACTTTACAGAACTTGTTCTGCTCTCTTTACGAATCACAGCACGCCCGAAAATTTCTTATTCTCTGTCCTGGACAGTGTCCAATTCTCCATCTCGAAGTACTTTTAGTTTTATATTATAGCTAGTGCATCTTTAATTAAATATCATGTATCCACCCTCAGCCTCGTTTTCTGGAAACTCAGCTGCACTCTCCATCATAGAATAGATGATCATGATGATCACCGCTCTCTCCAGACCACCAAAATTTACCAAATTAAATTAATAATATGTGACTGTTGTGCTGCATTCATTGCTGACATTATTTTAGTGGGTTTTTTATGGGTTCAGAAATAGATTTTCCTTTTCTCTGTGCTGTTTTGACAGTCAAAAAGTTATTCGGTTCTTTCATAATATCCTACTCCCAGATGATGTCACAGGACAGTCTAATATTTTAGACGGTGGTAAGACTGGGTTTCCCGGCTTTCTGATGCTTTTAACGACCTCAAAACATCTAGAACTGACCCTAACCCCAACCCACCTACCTCCCTCGAGAGAGTGTAGATAGGTCCCACGACTGCATGCAGCCTATCTACCACACCCTGAAACTTTTTATTAGACTGTCCTGTAACCTGGGGATTTCCCTTGTTTGGGGTAGGATATTGAGAAAGCACCAGTTATTCTTAAGCCCTGTACAGTGTTGGAAAGAAAAACAGTCATATGCATTCTGGGATAGGTCTGCCTCAGATTTTGAGTCGATCGAAACTGTCACATGCCTCTTCATTAACTGCATTTCTCATTATATTTTCAACTTATTTATTAAAAAGGGATGGAGTGAGAATGCAGTCTTGTCTTACTCCTCTTTGCACCTCAAACAAGTCTGATGTTTTATTAGCTACTCTGACTGCTGCTTGTTGTTCATGGTAAAGAGATTCCATTAGATGCACTAAATGTGTTGAGAATTCCAGACACTTAATATGTATCAGTTTTTGGTGTTGAACAATCACAAATCTTGCTGTAATCAATGAAGCATGTGTAGAGTGAACATTTCTCAAGGATGATTCTTATTTTGAAAATTGCATCCCTTGTTCCTCTGCCGCTTAGGTGATGAAGAAATGGTCCCTGGTTAACATCCATATATTTCTCGAGGAAAGATCTGTTATCAGGACATTAAACCAAACCCGCATCATACCTGAGCTGAGATTACCCAGCCCACATGATACTGGCTGCACAACCGGGTAAAAGGGTTAACATCAGTTGTGTGAATGGCATACACAAACACACTGTTAACTTAAATCCTCATTTCAGGTGGTAGGTGCTTTGGTGGGGGTGATATCACATTCAACCAGCATTCCTGAAGGGGAAGCTTTAGGTTACAATTGTGGCTAGGTTATGTGCACCATATAAATTAGCTTAGCATTTCACGACACCAAAAGCCCTGAAAAGGGCGCCTGCATTGTTAATGAGATAAAAGGAAACAGACCCAAATACTGTCCCGGCCGGCGAGTCAGTGGGCAACCGCCTCTTTCATATTTAACTTATTTATTAAAATCTAACCAGTTTTTTGGTATCCTCAGAGTGACCAGGGGATCTACCTTCAGAAAGTGCGTGATATGGTTGCCAGTAATGCTGTCCGTATTACAGTGAACATCAATGATGTTAGAAGGAAAATCCCCAAAAGATGTCAATTGTATGTTATTGAATTTGTCTTTTATAAAATTTAATTCTATTAGGCGATTACTACTAGTTTATAATGCCATTAATATTATAGTAAAACCTCGCTAACACAAATTCCAAATAACGGAGAAACCAAGAGATTGTGTTTAAAAACTTAAGAGACTAAGATATATTATAAATAATGTCCCTGCTGGGACACAAATTTTTATTTATATTAACAGAGTTTTTGTCTTAAGCGAGCTTGTGTTGAGAAGATTTTATTGTAATAATACTATTTTTTTAAATTACATTATATAATTGTCTTATTTTATTGTATTAATTGTGTGGGTACTAATAATTTGTTTCACCCTAAACAAAGTCTAGTTGGCCTTGACATGCACTAGTCTGTGTTAGAGGGGTGTCACATGTTGTCTTCAATGCTCTCACCGGCGATAACATGTGTTCTATATTACACTATGTGGCCACTTTTAACGACCCCAGAACATATAGAATGGGCCCTACTCCCCAGCCTCAGCTTACGTCTCACGGGAGACTGTCGCCTATGTTGCATGGTTTGAAGTAAATTCACGTTGTACTTCAAGTCCGAGAAGTCTATAATATACGCAATGTGAGCTGACTTTGACTAATACCATTATATTATTAAAGATCTAATGGCAAGGCCCCCAGGCCAGGCAGATCATAAACACGAACTGGGGAAGAGAATGATGACAGAACAAGTAAGGATAATTGTGATGACAGCCTTAAACCCAATGGTACTACAACGGAAAGCTCTCGTCAGGCTGTGATAGTGTGCGAGGTCGGAGAGCTCACTCTAAACCAGGTTTTCATGATGACAGCAACGTTCTGCAAAGGGTTTGCTACATAATGTTTGTTTCTCATATATTGGTATTGGAATAATAGTAAATGGCAGAAACAAAAGGGGGGAAAATCATAATTGAAATGTCAGAGAAGTGTTCCACATCGTGAAAATACTATTAACACCTAAAGAAGTATACGTTAGTGTTGCAATGCAAATTGTATGATGCAAACAAAAAAGTGGAGTTAACAGGCAGATATATTACACTGTTTTGAGATACTAAGTCATTTTCTTTTTTTTTTATATGTGATTTAATTTTCGGTCTGTCTTAACTCTGTTTTAGGTTGCTGAGTGAATCGTTTGAAGAGCTTGTTTGTTTCCAGAAAGCCCTCAAAGACTTAGTTTCATCAGCAGACCCAGTTTATGGCAAACAGCATGATGAATTTTTCATTGGTTTCGAAGGCAGGTTAGTAATTTAGTGGTGCTTTGACAGTCGCAGTATTTTGAAATGAACTGAACACATTTTTTTTTTTCAGTGAGTTAACAGAACATTAAAATTTTTTTTTTTTTGATTAAAAAAGTATAAAAGTTGTTTTTTTTTTTTTTTTCCAGATAAAATATAAACCCTATCTTTCTGGTAAATTGAAGTAAGGATCAGATCGGTTGGTTTTGCCTGTTTATAGATGGGACAGCTATTGTCCAAAGTATTTTGTTTCTCTTTTTTGTCTTTTATTCCTGAATGGAGCAGAGATCCCAAGCCAAACCTTCCTATCCTTTGCTGCCTTGTCCAGCTCCCTCCATGCACTTCCAGTATATATTGTATATATATGTCTGAAATTCTGTTAGTTTTTAGATTTTTATTTATACTCAGGATCCAATGCAGTGACATTCTAGTTATCAGGTTTTCTCGTTGTGTTTTCTTTCTCCAGCACCAGCTGTGTTTCCTTGCCTTTTTATTCTCTAGAATTTATCTGGGTTTTTTCACTCCCTAATCTAAGTATTTGTAGTTGTGTCACACTATTTGATTCTGTGTTGGCATCAGGTAATTAATGTTGTTGTTTATTGTTTTGTTCACTCCTAGCCTCATACATCAGCATTGATTTGACAGATCCCTTATCTCCATGTGCTTTCTCTGGACATATTTCTTGTCTCCATGTGCTTTCCCTGCTTCTATTGCCTTTTGTATTCTAATGTTAATATCTGTGTGTACCTCAGTCATTGCTTACATTTATGCCTAATCTTTGTTATTTACTGATGTTGATAGTGTAAGACAAGGTTATGAGAATGCCTTGCTAACAGACATGAGTGATCTTGGCTTTCACAAATCCATGTTAGATAGTAAAATGAGTGAGTTTATGTGCTGAATTTTATTGTATTTTATTTAATTGGAGAACAAACTTTCCGTTCTTTTTCTCAGCTTTGGTGATAAACATAACACACCACGATCCCTCACCAGCAAATATTTGGGCAACATGGTGTGTGTTGAGGGCATTGTCACAAAATGTAAGTGTTATCTGTACATTTGTGTATTTCTGATTACTTCTGTGAGGCTAGAATTCTATAAACTATAATTTTTTTTTTACATGATCACTTGTCTGTGACATATCTTTTATTAGACTTTTGGTGATTGTGCTTTCATAATTAAAAATTGGTAGTTCTGGCATTACAAGGCTGAGTTCATATAACACATCACTGTAGTTGCAAAAAATATTGCAGCAGTATTTGGAACAATGAAATGAGGGTCTGTACCTCTGTCTTCCCATAGGGAGGGAGTGTCGCAGATATTGGTTTTTAAGTCAGCAGCTCAGCTCAGTCTGTCCATAACCACCTTTTGTGAAATGAATAAGCTATTCCTGCATTTCTTTGAGTTGTAACCAGCAAACTAGCTTTAAGGGATGCATGAGAAAACAGGCTGGGTCCCAAAGAACTAATATACAGGATAAACATTATTGTCCATGCACTTTAACATATGCAGACGGAGCCTGGGCACCTATACAGTGCAATTAGTTGTTTCAGCCTTGCACTTAAAGTGTGGTTACTATTAAGAGTCGACTAATTGGGGATTTTCTTCGAGGTTGGAATGCACCCTCTGAGAAGCAAGAAACCAACAATCTGCATATATTAAGTCAGGTCTATTAAAAGGATGTGCACGCAACACTCACCTTCTGGAATAAGACCAAAGTCCAGAGGTGGACAAAGAACCATAACTTTCCACTGGAGTTTACATCCTATGAAGGATAAGAAGTGACCGTGAGTCAACCTAATGTTGCCTCTGATCTCTTGCTCGGCTGTTAAAGCTTTCACTTGCAACTTTTTATCTTCCATCACAGGTTCTCTCATTCGTCCCAAGATTGTGAGGAGTGTCCATTACTGTCCTGCCACCAAAAAGACATTAGAACGCCGCTATACAGACATGACATCTTTGGACGCTCATCCGACAAGTGGGGTTTACCCAACTAAAGTAAGCTCGTTTACTTTGGTGTACTAGATCTTCATATATCATGCTGCCAGTGACAACATTGGATTTCTAAATTTAATCAAACGGTTATATTATAACTATTTCGGCACCATGATACAGTAAAATTGGGTATACATCAGTGCATGGTGCGTTCCTTGGTACCAAAAGAGTGTTAAAGATAAGTTGAGTCTGCACATTTTTTTTTTCTGTCTTGAAACCTAGAAGGGTGAAAAGTAATTAAGGCAAAAGTAGTGAATCCAAGGCAAATACTGCCATTGTAGTACAAACATTTAGACCTGTGTATACTCTAGGTTGCCACAAAATAAAGTGGTGTGGGCCTGTTTCCTTTCTCACATTAGCTAAAATTGGGCTCTGAGGTCCGCCCATCCTCATAAGGTTGTGAACATATTTTTAGAATTGTGTAAGAAGGAAAGGTGATGAAACACTAGTCTCTCCTCTCTCTCTCTCTCTCTCTCTCTCTCTCTCTCTCTCTCTCTCTCTCTCTCTCTCTCTCTTCCCTTTCTCTCTCTTCTCCCCCCCCCCCTCCCCTATATAATGGACCAGAATAGATAAAGGGCAGATCACACCCAGTAGGTGCCTAACAAAAATTCTGCAGATTTTTGCCAGTAAAGTAAAGCTGTTTTTTCCCCCCAACTTTCTAAGCTGAGGGTGTGGCCCCTGAAGACCCCCAAATTTCAACATTTTAGCCGCTGGGTGAACTTATTTAAATAGCTGTGCCCTAATAATTCACACCCTAATGGAATTGTGGGCTGTGAAACTTATTGTTTTCCTTGTTAACGACCAGATCATCAGTTTGTCTCACATCTGTGGTCATTGACTTCTTCTCTTTGTTGTTACATGTGTCATTAACATTGTTGTATAGTACACAAGCCATTAACATTCATTGTTGTATAGTACACAGTCCATTAACACTCTTGTTCTCATTGTTGTAAGTAAAAAAAAAAGTAAAGGTCCCTTTTCCACACCTTTAGGCTTATACGGCTAGACCTACATTTATATAGGCCAATCGGCATAAGATGGGTGATTGGGTCAGCATCACATCAGCGGCCTTTACTTCCCCGGACTGCACCCGGAACCCACTCAAGGTTGGGTCTACCTGGGAGTCAAGGTGATTTTTTAAAAATGTCCGGCTCCGCCAGGGAGCGAACCCGTGACATTCTGATCCGCATGCAAAAATCTAGCCGCTACGCCACGGTGACTCCCTTTTCGTTGTTGTATGTGACCTTAACTTTGCTATTGTTTCATAGATCATTGACTTTATTGCTTTAGCTTGGGACTATAACCATCTGTAACTTGGGTCTTTTTATGTCAAAAGGATGAAGACGGCAATCTTCTAGAGACTGAGTACGGCTTGTCTGTATACAAAGATCATCAGACCTTCACAATTCAGGTCAGTATTTTCATCATGATTGTGTGACATTCTGTTTGAAATATCTCCATTGCAGCTGATTTGTATGCTTCCTTGACATGAGATTAACTATGCTGTCCAGTGTCATCCACAAAGTTCTTTGTTCCATATTCTAGGAACTTTAACCACTTTGGCCTTTCCAATCCACTATTAATTTTGACATGACCATTGTTGGTGGAAGAAAATGGTCAAGCTTCAAACCCCACCACTCAGGATTTTTCCCTACAAGTAATTCCTTGGCATCAACCCATTAAATGGGTGGGAATTAACTTTGAAGAAAAGGCTATGAAGCTGAGTGCCTATGTCTCATTATTCAGTACTGTAGAATATGTGACTGGGATGCTGGGTTAGATTCCAGCTGCGGGCCACGCGCCTTGCGTTGGTTTCTACAGTGGTATCAAGAAAGCCAACGGTCCAGAAAGCAGTGGCAAACTACTGGATGTAAATTTGTCTAGAAAAACCACACACCAGCCAGGGGCTGTTGGGGTTGGTTCTGCAATGTCCTTAAAGAATACACAACTAACCTAGAATATGTGAAGACATAGGATTTGTCAAAACACCATTGACAGCTAAGGGGCTTCTTTTCTTTTTATTGTTGATAGGCTGCATTTTCTTAAGAAGGGGGGGGGGGGAACGGGGGAAAATAATCTTGAGGCTGGTACTTTCTTTGTACCTGTTGCCACTTGACTACTTCTTGGGTCTGTGACTAAATTGGACACGTGATGCACCAGGTAATCATCATTCAGTCTGATCTCCAATATGAAGATTGATGTTTATGCTGAGCCAGTGTTGTACATACTGAAAACTTGCAGTCATGCTACTTTAACTGGATTAGATATCATGACTGATTACAATAATTGTATTTTATTTTAGGAAATGCCAGAGAAAGCCCCACCAGGCCAGTTGCCAAGATCAGTTGATGTGATTGCTGATAATGACCTCGTAGATGCTTGTAAGGTAATCACATTTGATTGTGTAAATAGAGAAACAAAACTGACCTGAATTGATGAAATTATGTACTATAAAAACAAATTTTGCTGCTTGGTTGTGTGAATAAACAAGACTAACTATGTGGCCTAATTTGAAGATAGTATATATTAAAGGGGCAATTTTACGTGTCTGGTTGACTAATAGTTAGTCTTTCCTTGGTTTTGTGGGATTGATTGACTAATAGTTAGTCTTTCCTCTTAAGCCTAAGGTGGCGCATATGGCAGAGGTCATGGCTGGTGGTTCGTTGCCACCTGTTTTAGGTCTTGGGTGTTTGTTCAGCCCATGTTTTAGCCTTCCCTGATGATGGTTCGACTTATATGACACACTAATTACCAAGTGTGTTCAGGTCAAGAAACCAATCTGTTAATGTGTGATAAGCACAGAGCTCAATCAATCAGTTAAAAAGCCTTCATCTTACTTCATAGTTTTGCAGAACGTCCAAAGATTCCTGAAGATCACCTAGCTGCCTTTACTTGCCAGGATATTTTTGAGTTCACATTTTAGGCTAGGTTGGACTGAAAGCCTAGGCCAGTTATAAACATTGTCTCTGTGGATTCTAACTAAAAACCTTAGGCTGACAGGCAAGTATCTAGTCATTGCACTACAATGGATCTCCAGTACCTTACTAATTGGTTCAGTACTTCTGTATGTTATTTTATTCTTACATATTTACCCATTTCGTTTGAATCCATCCATATTTGAACAGCATTAGTTCTTCCAATGGCATTAGAAGAGCCAAGAACAGGAAGATTGAAGATGCATCTTGTCACATTTGTTCGTGGACCTTAAATATTCCTGTTTTGGCTAATTGGCCATTTGTACATGTGGATTAGCACCTGAGACAACAGATCACCTCCTCCAAAACTGTCCTAATTACAACATATCAAGGCAAAACTTTTGGCCAAGAGAAACATACATGCAAGCCTAATTTTACAGTTTGCTCATTGATTTACAACAGACAGTCAAGTGCATACTAGAGACATCATTACAGATATAATCTTTTTTAAGCGAACGACGGAAGAAGAAGAATATTCCTATTTTTTTTTCTGTTCTTTGTCAATGTTGGGGCTGCGTTAGTGCAGTCGGTAGGAGACTTGCTTTCAAATCCAGCTGCGACTTGTTGCAGCCCACAGCCGGTGTTCGAAACTGGGCGGTTCCTGGGGTTCACCCAGCCTCTAGGAAATGGGTACCAGATTTGACACTCTGGGGTAAATGGAGGAGCGTCCCTGTAGCTACAGAGTTACGTGCGTATGACAACACAGGCGGTCAATTTTGTATCATCTGTCTGAACTGGTGGCAGAGCACTTATGGTTTATAACCGTGTGTAATGACGATGGTTCACATCTCCCGACTTTACCCTTTTTCCCCCCCTTTTTAGAGCTGTTTTTCTTGCTATGAAAAGTTGGCACCGACAAGAGAAACATTAACACATTTTTTCATGTAAAGTGTGTTTGTGATGAAACGTTTTCTATCAGTCATTTCATTTTGTATGGCAGCCTGGAGATAGAGTACAGGTCGTTGGCATGTACAGGTGTCTTCCGGCAAAGAAAAATGGGTTTACAACAGCAACATTTAGGTAAGTCATTATTTTATTTTGTGTCTTCTCATTGATACCAGGTTGAAGCCCAGTGTTGTGGTTTTCTGTATTTGTCTTGTGCTTCTCGGGTGGCTTGAGTAATGGATTCAGTTTTTTGCAGTTTTCAACTACACCATTCATCCTTCTCTTCATCTTCATCCTTCTCTCGCCTTTCTCCCAGATGTTATGCTGTAAAAAGTCTCATATGCAGTCTGGTCTGGCTGCATTCTCACCTGATGGCTGAACCATTTCATTCTTTGTCAATATAATCCAGACATTATCTTATTCCACCTTTCTCTCGAATGCTGGTATTCATAATCCTGTCTTGTCTAGTGTTGTTAGTGACCTTGCGGAGACTGCATTTCACATGTAGTTATTTTCTGTTCTTGTGTTTTATTCATTGTCCATGTTTTGGCACCGATAACAACATTAAGTAGGGAGAAAGATTCTATTAATTATTTGCTGTTTTGCTGGAAGGTGTTTGTAATTAAGGATTTATTAACTTACTCTTGAGCTGAATAAACCTTGTTTTTTGTCCATTTTCCCTCCCTATAGGCATTGAGATGTATCTTTTGGCAGTCACATGCCTTAACCTTGGGAAGGGAGCATTACTAACCTAGATCTAATCCCAATACAATCTGTATATACTGTGTTAAATCATGACTTTGTTCAGATTCCAGCACCACCAGTAACAGTCTTGCCTTTCCCTGAGTGTCAGCCAGATCCCCAGGTCACTCCCTGCTGGACCCTTCTCTTTCCTTTCTCTGAGTGTCAGCCAGATCCCCAGGTCACTCTCTGCTGGACCATTCTCTTGCCTTTCCCTGAGTGTCAGCCAGATCCCCAGGTCACTCCCTGCTGGACCATTCTCTTGCCTTTCTCTGAGTGTCAGCCAGATCCCCAGGTCACTCCCTGCTGGACCATTCTCTTGCCTTTCTCTGAGTGTCAGCCAGATCCCCAGGTCACTCCCTGCTGGACCATTCTCTTGCCTTTCTCTGAGTGTCAGCCAGATCCCCAGGTCACTCCCTGCTGGACCATTCTCTTGCCTTTCTCTGAGTGTCAGCCAGATCCCCAGGTCACTCTCTGCTGGACCATTCTCTTGCCTTTCCCTGAGTGTCAGCCAGATCCCCAGGTCACTCTCCCCTGGACCATTCTCTTGCCTTTCCCTGAGTGTCAGCCAGATCCCCAGGTCACTCCCTGCTGGACCATTCTCTTGCCTTTCCCTGAGTGTAGACCAGATCCCCAGATCACTCCCTGCTGGACCATTCTCTTGCCTTTCCCTGAGTGTCAGCCAGATCCCCAGGTCACTCCCTGCTGGACCATTCTCTTGCCTTTCCCTGAGTGTCGGCCAGGTCACTCTCTGCTGGACCATTCTCTTGCCTTTCCCTGAGTGTTGGCCAGGTCACTCTCTGCTGGACCATTCTCTTGCCTTTCCCTGAGTGTCGGCCAGGTCACTCTCTGCTGGACCATTCTCTTGCCTTTCCCTGAGTGTCAGCCAGATCCCCAGGTCACTCTCTGCTGGACCATTCTCTTGCCTTTCCCTGAGTGTCAGCCAGATCCCCAGGTCACTCCCTGCTGGACCATTCTCTTGCCTTTCCCTGAGTGTAGACCAGATCCCCAGATCACTCCCTGCTGGACCATTCTCTTGCCTTTCCCTGAGTGTCGGCCAGGTCACTCTCTGCTGGACCATTCTCTTGCCTTTCCCTGAGTGTCGGCCAGGTCACTCTCTGCTGGACCATTCTCTTGCCTTTCCCTGAGTGTCGGCCAGATCCCCAGGTCACTCTGCTAGACCATTCTCTTGCCTTTCCCTGAGTGTCGGCCAGATCCCCAGGTCACTCTGCTAGACCATTCTCTTGCCTTTCCCTGAGTGTCAGCCAGATCCCCAGATCACTCCCTGCTGGACCATTCTCTTGCCTTTCCCTGAGTGTCGGCCAGGTCACTCTCTGCTGGACCATTCTCTCTAGGATATGATCTATGTTTGTGTTGGTTTTTTCCCCCAAAGTTTCCGGGGGTGGAAATGTTAAAGGCATTGAGCAAGGCCTGAGGATTTACATGGGTCACTAATGAATCTTTCAATAATTTAGTTATCTACACTTAACAGTTTTTGTTTTAAAATATATAAGGGGGTGGTAAAAGTAAACATGAGCAAAGGGAAGAATAAAATGGAATACATTACAGTATGTACCTTGTGAATCATTCTGGGGCTCTTATCACTGAGCATTACAGAAAAATCTGATGTCAACCTTGCTTTAAAATGGCTATTAGGTTCAAGGAGACACTCCTTTCATAAATGCTATTTTTAGTATATATTCATGTCCGTGGCTAAGGCGTTGCGAGTACGACTTGTAATCCAACTACTGCGATCAAAACCCACTGCGGGCTGCGTGGATTTTTATCGTGGTGTGGGACGTCGCAGGTCGACCCAGCCTCAAATGGGTACCAGGATAGCTGTCCCGGGGAAGTAAAGGCGGCCAGCGTATTACTGACCACATTACCCATCGAGTGCCGATTGGGTCTGTACAAATATGGGTGCTCTTCCCATATGCCCGATGCGCCTGAAGGCGTGAAAAGGGATCTTTACTTTTACTTTACTCTATTCGTATCCTGACCTATACATTTGCCGGCAGGAAAAACTAGTAGCCTTAACTGGGAGTTTTGTAAACACACCACTATAGACATGCTGGTTAAGCAGCACTCTCTGGGAGTCAGAACATGCTGGGTTTGCAGCTTTCTGGAAGGAAAGGATTATTTCCTACACAGTATCTTAGGCGTTTTGAACGCGTTTCATAATTCCGGGTATATTCCCAGCTGCGGGCGATTTATCTTGCATTGGTTTTGTCAGAGGCACCGAGAGCTGACTCTTCAGGGGGCGGTGGCAAACTACTGAATGTAAAATTTGTCTAGAAAAACCACAATAGCCAAAATAATGCTGGGGTTGGTTCAGCCTCCTGTAAAGGATACACAGCTAACCTTAACCTCCACAGCCACGCCTTTGTGTGTATTTACAGAGCTTAAGTGTAGGCAGAATTTCAGTAAATTTTTTTTTTTTTTTCAGGACAATCCTCATTGCAAACAATGTCTCATTACTGAGCAAGGAGGTTGCGCCTCTTTTCTCTGCAGATGATGTTGCTAGAATTAAGAGATTTGCTAAAAATAAGAAACACGTAAGTGAATTAATGACTTTTTTCCTGCCTTCCATTCTCCATTACAACATTATCCTTCAGCTAGCTAATGTCAGAAAACTCTATGTTCCCGGGCCTTTTTTGGGGTTAAGGGTGGGATATAGAAGAAGCATGCCATAAAGGGTGACTAATTAGGAGTTGACAGAAACTGGATCTTTTGGGCCAAAAGATGCAGATATCAAAGCCTAGCTGTACCAAGCCCATGCCGATGGTGAGTATGACTAGCAAGACCCGCCCACATTAAGACAAGTCTCCCACTGTTGTAGCATGGAATTTCAGGACTGTTATTGTGTGTACATTTGTATTTAGTCTGTTTCTTCTCAGACGCTCAGCTCTCATCCTTTCTGCAGTTATTTCTTCCTTCATTCTCATTCCTTTCCACACAACACGGTCCATGGCATTTTGTTCCAAGTTCACCTCAATACCTGTATCATTCGTTCCTGCTTACACTCATCTTTATATCGCAGTCAATTCACCATAAAGGATGTCCTTAGGGACTCTGCCATCCTCCATTCACCAGGTGTGACCCAGCCACCTGAGCCTTCATAGACTGAGCATTGAGAAGACTGTTGTAGTGCCGGCTCTTTCCAATACATCAGTATTTTTTATCTTGTCCTGCCACTTAATGCCAAGTATTCTTCTTAGGCATCACATGTGAAAGCTATATAGCCGTCTCCCCTTGTGCAAATAAGTTGACCATGTTTCACTGCCATAAAGCAAAGTGCTGAGAACACTAAGCCTGATAGTTTGTTTTTTTTTTTTATCGTGAGCTTTCTGTTCTCCCAAATTCTTTTTGTTAATCTGCTCATTGTTGATTTCTTGATCCAGCGATAGTTTATTATTCATTGTGGAACCCAGATAAGTAAAATGGTCAACTGTCTCCAGCTCTTCATCATCAGTGTAGACTGCAGGTTTATCATTAATACCTTGCACCCTAATCTTTGTTTTCTTTTTGCTGATTGTTAGTCCAAACTCACAGCATGCAGACAGTAAACATTGCAGCTTCTCCTCTGAGTGGGTTACTGAGTTATCCAAAGCTCTGCATTATTGATTTCACCTACTATTTTAATTCTTTCTATTCTGTGAAGGCTAGTTGTAGTTCTTCTTTCGTTCACTTGAAATGAATTAAATTACCTATATCTGCAATGTTGTCTCTAGTATAAACTTCACTGTCTTTTGTAATTCACTCAGCGAGCCGTAAAGTTTGACTTGCACTGATGTTTCTCTTAGCCAAAAGTTCTGACTTGATATGATGTATTTGGGGCAGTCTTGGAGGACATGATCTATTGTCTCAGGTGCCAATCCACATGTGCACATGGCTGATTTGCTGATTTTAAATTGTTAAATTGTAGTGAGTTAGTGGTTATTTTAGTTGTTCTCCATGCAGCTTATGTTTTCAGCCTTCACACCCACACATTTCCCATATGGTTTCCGAAGCCCCATCTTGAGCAGAAACAGGAATGCACCTACTATTCTTTCTTCCTCCAATGAGTGCATCTACTTAGGGGGGGGGGGCTGAGGGACCTAACAGTCTGCATATGATTAAGCCAGGTCTGGAAAATTGATGTGCACGCAAAACTGTTCTTAAACAAGACTAGAAGAGGATGAACTTTCCACTTAAGTTTACAGTCGGTGAGGGCTACCAAGAAGAAACATTTTTTAAAAAGCCTTTTTTTTTTTTTTTTTTTTTGGCATGTCTCATTAGGAATTACTTGCCACTAATCTAGGTTAGCACTTGTGTAAGCAGTTTGAAAGAGTAAGAAAGACAAAATCTGATTTCATCTGTAATTTTTATCCAGGATGCTTTTGAGCTGCTGGCCAAATCTATGGCTCCCTCAATTCATGGGCATGAGTACATCAAGAAAGCTGTACTTTGTATGTTGTTGGGAGGAAATGAGAAAGTTCTAGAAAATGGTACACGTCTGAGAGGTGACATTAACGTTCTGCTCATTGGAGACCCATCTGTGGCCAAATCACAGATGCTGAGGTTAGAAGCTTTTTTTCATATTCCTAATTTTCATATTTTTGTTTAGATTTCATCAGAACTTTATGAAGTATAAATTGTTCACAAGAAAGTAAGTGACCTTTTTCCCCACTCTCTGAGCTTAACATGCATATGGCTTCCTGTCAAATATTTTTATATAGACCAATCAGCATTCGATGTGTGATGCAATTATTATCAAGCTAGCCGCCTTTACTTCCCAAAACATTTCTGGCACTCGTTTTAGGCTGAGTCGACCTGAGAGCATGGGGCAGCTTTCCTGGATATGAATTCAAACCTACGATCGTTGGGCCATTTGATAAGTGTGCTACGCTGACTTTCTAAATGATATGTTCTCAGTTGAGTATGATCTCTTCAGAGTCATTCAGTGAAGAATCAGAACTGTTCTAAAGTGTATGAAAATGGAGGTTAGAAATAAAATAATTACAGGCAAGAGTTTGATGGCATTAACACGCTAGACTTAACTGAGCATACTTACTCGTAATAGCTATATACTGAGCTCAAGAAAATGTTGAGAATTAGCAACAAAAAAATTAAAGGTCTCCCTTTCACACCTTTAGGCATATAGGGCCAGTGACCTCACAGTCATAGTTTCCAAGTCCACACCACTTGTGTGTAGGTTGACCTGTGGGTTTTGCAGGTCATCAACAGGCTTTTGATTTTGGCTTTTTATCCCTTAAGGAGGAAACTAACTGAACCTAACCCTGCACAGTCAGGCGCATTGGACATCTTAGTGACAGTGAATCATCCTAGTCAATGAACCCATGTCTTTGAGTTGAATAAAATTAAAGTTAGTTGCCTATCCTTTACAGGACCTTGTTGCAGAAGCAACCCCAGCATTTTTTAGCTGTTGTGATTTTTCGTGGCAAGTTTACATCCAGTAGTTTGCCATTGCTTTCTGGGTTGTCGGCTTCTCAATACCACTGTCACAGCTGGGATCAAAGTTCGGATTTGCTAAACATAAGCCACAGACGCCGACTAAGTTGAATAGCCTAACAAATATAAATAAGCTATCATCTTGACAGTGGCCGTGTTTCTGTAAAACGGCCATGATTTGGTAATGATTTAAGATGTTTGCATATTGTTGCTGTTGTTGCCTACTTTGTGTTGCTACATTTTAATTTATATTTCTCTGCCAGATATGTCCTTTTTACAGCTCCAAGGGCTATTCCTACCACTGGGCGAGGATCCTCTGGTGTTGGTCTGACAGCAGCTGTTACCACTGACCAAGAGACAGGTTTGCATCTCCTTGCTTCACTTTATTCTGTCTTATGATGATATAATGATTATCTTTATTCTCTTAGGTCTTCTTCATTGTTGAATGTTATTTGCACCTTTCAGCTGATTTAATTGGGCATTTCTTGTCAGGGTTAGCTGTCACAAGTGTTAATCCTAATAATTGGCAAGACAAAAGTGGGTTATAAAACACTTTGTTAAGACCATGCCATGTGATGATACAATAATTTTTTTATATACATGTTCTCCTCGACATACGGCTGAGTTCTGTTCTAACATAAGTCGAGCTAATCATAAGTTGAATTTATATTATCACTATTTTTATTCAGACGGTTTATACAAAAGGTACATAAAATACCAAATGACAGCTTATGTACGTACAATTGTTGTACATAATGTGATAAATAATATTTACTGCATCAGTTCCAGGAACTTTTTGACCCTGCTAATGTTATCTTTCTTTCTTTGCTATTTTTGTTGTTGTTGCTTTTGTGTGTGTGTGTGGTAATAGGCCACATAGGTCGTACTTCGGAGAGATGTAGTATGATGCTCCATACTGGGATACCGTATTAACATTCTCTTTCTTGTCTCTCTTCCCCTCAGACTTTCCTGCTGTCACAGTATACTCCATCTTTCCTCTTGTCATTGTGTACGTACTGAGTGTGGATTGGCCTTTTCTGATGTAGGTAATCAGCTCTTTCCATTAACTGTTGCATACGATTAGTTGCAAATATCTGTTTTTAAAAAGTCCAGAGGATCGGCTTATTGCACTGGGTTTATCCCATATGCCTTGACCTCTCTGCATATAACGGCTAGTCGCCTGCCAAGGGTGTCGCTTGAACTCCGTAGCTCTGGCTACAATTCCTAGAGACCTCCGTGAAAATTTCACCCCTGAACTGAACACACAACCTTCAGCGCGAAGCAAAGAGTGTGACCACTTCGCCTCAGAGACAACCCAGAGTTGCAAATATCTTATTGTTAGTTGATGGGTCTATTTAACATCTGTCAGGGTTCGTAGTGGACCAGGAAAACCGTGATTTACCGTGATTTTTTATTCCTGCGACCTTGAACCGCGATTTTCACCTTTGAAAAGACATTCTGACCTTGAGAAGCCGTGAATTTTGACCGCCGCAATGAGATCGCCTGAAGTCCTGCGATTTTCGGCAGTTGGGATTTTTTGGGGGGCCATTTGGCTAGTTTTGGCTACTTTCGTTTAGGTTTGTTTCAGGTATGAGAGCAGTTGATTATCAGCTATTTTCAGCCGAAATGGCTTGTTGTGTTGCCAGGAAATGGGCTGTGTTGCAGCCAATGAATACATGCAGACAGCAGTGGCGTGGCATGGGGCGGGAAGGAGCAGCTGCGTCTCGCGTTTGCATGTGCCTTTGTTTCTAGGGAGTCCAGCAGTATTATTAGTATAAATAGCTTTATGGCCGTGGTTTCTAGAAAGGATTTCATTTGGAGATGGTGGGGCACGGGTCCGTCTGTGTTTATAAATAGAATTGGCCGTGGTGGGGCTAAGCAAAGTGACGTCAGCTGGATTTCCCAGTTCTATTTTTGGCCTGGTTAATCTTTACAGTGTTTTTGGCGATCAATATTGTAATTCCCTGAGATTCCCTCTTCTGTTGTCTCACCTCCCTCTTTCTCTCCCCTCCCTCTTTCACTCTTCTACCTCTTGCTCTCTCCTTCCTCTCTCCTGCATTGTCTCTAACCCTCCCCTCTGATCTTTACCTTCTTTTCTTTCTCTCTATCTTTCCTCTGTCTCCCGTCCTCCAACTCTCTTTGTCATATTTTTCCTCCTTCTATATCTGTTTCTTTCCCTTTCACCTTCTCTCATCTGCCCATTTCTGTATCTGCATTCCCTCTCTTTGTATCTGTCTCCCTCTCTGTCTTTCGCTGTCCCGTCCTCACTTTCCCTCATCATGTCTCCATCCCTCCCTCTCATTGTCATATTTTTTCCTCCTCCCCCGACTCTTTTTCTTCTTTCCTCTACCTTCATCTGTCCATATTTACACTGTGTCTCCCAGTCTACATCAGCATGTGTCTTCTTCCCTCTCTGTATGACCCCCCGTCTCCTTTCAGGTACCAGGTACAGAACAGACAGGACTTCAGTTTGCTGCCCTCTACCACCAAGTCTTAAACAAAATTGTCAAACACTATATCAAGCCTAGGAGCCGACCAACACGAAGATGGGCACAGGATATAAGTGACTTCTTGAGTATGAAAGTACATGAGACGGGAGAGCTGGTGAGAGACCAAGTTTCTTTCAGGACAAAGGACCTGCTACATGATGATTTATGTGCTGGTATACCAACACATGTGGCACTAATGAAGTACATTGTGTGCTGGGTACACCCTTGAACAAGGCAACAATCTTGTTTCAGTATTAACACCGAGACAACCTTGAAAAAAACTAAGGAGACCTTGAAAAGCCTTGAAATTGATTAGTAAATTTGGCTATGAACACTGATCTGTTGTATTTTTCTATGGTAGGTACTGATTACCGGCTGATTTGTTTGTGACAGGTGAGAAACGCCTGGAAGCTGGAGCCATGGTGTTGGCAGACAGAGGCGTTGTCTGTATTGACGAGTTTGACAAGATGTCTGACATTGACAGGACTGCCATCCATGAGGTCATGGAGCAAGGTCGTGTGACTATCGCTAAAGCTGGTATCCATGCTAAACTGAATGCTAGATGTAGTGTGCTAGCAGCTGCTAATCCAGTTTATGGCCGGGTAAGCTTCAACATATTCAGCTTTCATTGTGGTTGTCTTGGAGGTTTTTTCCAGCCGTTTCACTTAATTGTTACTTTTTTCCCCTAAAACTTTGCTAATCCACTTTATGGCAGAGTAAGCTTCAACATTTTTAACTTTTATTGTAGTTGTCTTGGAGGTCTCAGGGCCCCATTTTCAGAGTGATTCGCTTTCCCTTAACAACCATATTCTAAGAGTTGACCTATCAAGGGTCATGATGCATTAAATGGGATGATCCATTCTTGTTTTCAAGAATTTTACCATTGTACATATTCATATCCACTAAATATAGCCATCAAACATTTGTTCCCTCCAGTATGTTACCGCATTAAAAGTTAAGTTGAGTTAAGAAGAATTGACATCACAGCACTCGGGACATTCCCATGCATGTTCTGTCTTCATCTTCAGCAGCCAGCGCAGTGTTCCAATACTAATGGTACTGGTCACAATCTGGTTATATGTCCGTCTGGCCTTTCCTCTGAGTGTAGTGAGCCGGCTAGACCCTCTGGTTACACCCAGGTGCCTCATTCTCTCTAGGCCATATTTACTGCATTAAAAGTCTATGGTTAAGCACCAGCATGGAAATCAAAATGAAAATTTTGAGAGCCCACATCTTCCCTGAAGCCATATACGGATGTGAGTCGTGGACTGTCTTCCAGTACCTAAGACAGAAAATAAGGGCTTTTAGTTTCTTTCAGGCAGACCGTGAGCAACGTTATGCAAAGGACTTCCTACATGATGATGAGTATGTTTCCATCATACAGACTCTCATCCACCAAATATAGCCATCATACATATTTCTTTTCTTTATTGTGTTGCCACTGTACGGACATCCACTAAATATAGCCATCAGCCGTAATTTCTCCGGTATGTTTGCATTTTTCACACTCACATCCACCAAATATAGCCATCAGACATAATTGTGATCTCTGGTATGTTGCTATTGTATTGACCCACATTCACCAAATGTAGCCATCAGACGTAATTGTGATCTCTGGTATGTTGCTATTGTATTGACCCACATTCACTAAATGTAGCCATCAGACGTAATTGTGATCTCTGGTATGTTGCTATTGTATTGACCCACATTCACTAAATGTAGCCATCAGACATAATTGTGATCTCTGGTATGTTGCTATTGTATTGACCCATATTCACCAAATGTAGCCATCAGACATAAGTGTGATCTCTGGTATGTTGCTATTGCATTGACCCACATTCACCAAATGTAGCCATCAGACATAATTGTGATCTCTGGTATGTTGCTATTGCATTGACCCACATTCACCAAATGTAGCCATCAAACATAATTATATTCTCCAGTATGTTGCCAGTGTACATCCACTAAATTTAGCCATGAAATGCATAATTATGTAATTGTACACACTCAGGTCCACCAAAAAGTCATCAAACAAAATTATATCTTCCAGTATGTTACCATTGTACACATTCACCATATGTTGCCATCAGACGCATAAATATGTTCTCCAGTATGTTGCAATTTGTTATCTCCAGTACGATCAGTTCAAAACTCCGATGGAAAACATTGGCCTTCAGGACTCGTTGCTTTCTCGTTTCGACTTGCTGTTTATAGTCCTGGACAAGGTAAGTTTCTAGCTACAACTAAGATAATTTACTCTGCGTTTTTGTTTTATTCACGTTTTTGTTTCATAAGTTAATTACCCAGACAGTGCAACAACAACAATTTCACATTGTGTTAAGATAAATTAATTACTGTGATGCTACACTTTATTTAAAAGATTTTGTCTTTAGTTTGCTTTTAAATTTTATTATGGAGAAATTAGTAACGCTTTGTAATTTGTACCCTCACTTAGTATTAAGAAGAATTGAGTACATGAGAAAGAGTGTGGGGCAGAACAGTTAATGAAAAAATGGGGAATTTTTTTTTTTTTTTTTTATCTTCTGCAAATGGAATGGAGACTCAACGTTAATCATATCATGCAATGTCTTTCATGCCTCCTGCATATTGTACATGACTCACTTCTGCATGTGTTTTTAGATATGCCTTTATTTCTGTTTTCCTGTAGGTCCCAAGAGGTTCACTGTTTTTCTGAATAATGTCTGTCCCATTTCTCCTTCGGTTAAATCAGAGGGGGTGCCCACACTCACACAGATCTAATACAGTTATCCATCCTGGTGAGGAATAGATACCAGAGCCTGAAGTGCTCAGTCTGACCTTCTTCTGTGTCATCCAGCCTGATAGGAGTTGTCGGAAGCAGAATCTTGTTGCTGTCGACGATGTGCTGATCTTCACAAATGGATCAGTTTTAGGATAACATAAAGAGTCCATGGGCATTTATAGCTCGCTTTTCAGGCAGAACAGTCCATGAAGCCAGCAGTGCCTTTTCTATGACTACCAGCAGCATGATGATGTAGGTGCTAGCCGTGACACAAGCTTCCATGTGGCCAGAATCACAGGAATGTTCCAGTGTGTGTGCTGAGTGATTCTTTGAGCGGGTTGAGGCAGGCTCATTGTACTGACAGTGCAGAACTCTCCTGTGTGTGCAGCTACCTTCATATTTGTCCCAGGATATGCAGGTGTTATTGGCAATGAAAGCACTGATATACTGGTAGGTTCCACATTTGCAGATGGCCGGCCCATGGATCACGCAGAAATTGTCAGTGCCCTTAGAGAGATATAACATTTAGAGGATTTTGGAAGCAATGTGTCCACATCACTGCCAAGGGTACGAGAATTGGGAGGAAATATCGGTGCAGCCAGACATGAGAAACAAACCGGGGACACACAGTCTTGTCAACCAGCATAGAACTCTTACTATTAACCGTCCGGTGCTGATGAATATGTTGAAGGGGGAATCTGAACATCTATGGATGTGTCCTGAGTGATGTAAAGATAATCTCACTCATAACATGTTCTGAGGAGACTGAGGCTGAAAGATGTGGATAAAAACAGCTGAAGTATTTTGGCCATATTTAAAGACATTTTTTTAAACCAGACTTGAGAGAAAAGTCAAAGACAAAAGGTGGACAATGACATGGGAGTGGGGAGAACAAGATTAAGGGATGGACGAACAGTAAACAAAGACTATACAACCAAAACAAGAGGAGTATGCCGAAGATCTGTTGCCGTCAAAGTTAATTGTGGAGAAAGCTTCTGATGGAATAAAGGGTGATCCTTGTTTTAGCATTCATGTGATCGTTGTTTCAGTATTTGTTACTGTATTAGCTGTTTAGCTTTATCTCCCCATGTCTTCAGATACTTTCACTTGCCATTGATACTAGACTCAGCACATTGTTCTGAACACATATTGAGCAGTTTAACTTCTAGCAGTTGTAGTTCTGCCACTAGACTATGTTATATCTCTTGTTACTAGATGGACCCAGAATCAGACAGACAGATCTCTGACCATGTCTTGCGTATGCATCGGTTCAGAACCACTGGAGAGCAAGATGGTGATGGTAAGTGATTTTGTATAAATTTTAAAAAAAGTGTCTTCTGTTAATGATCTAAGATGGTGTGTGGGGTGTGTATACAGAAACACAAATTGTATAAGAAACCCTCCCCATGGGGTTCCGGGACCCCGTTGTGGGGGAAGATAGGAATAGACCCACTGCCTCCGTCAGCAAACATGTTGTAGAAGTCAGCTAATTTTAGCTTTTTTCGAAGTTGGATTGCATAAGCCCAAGCTGCAAAAAAACTACCAGTTGCACACAAATAAGTCAGTAAAACAGATGTACATGCAAAACTCAGGCCCTGACACAAAGCCAAAGTCCAGATGGACAAACAGCCAAGACTTTCTGCTGGAACTTAACAGCCAGTGAACAAAGAAAGAAAAAGTATTTAAAAAAACATCTCTCTCTCTCTTTTTTTCTCTCTCTCTCTCTCTCTCTCTCTCCCTCTCTCTCTCTTTCTCTCTCTCTCTCTCTCTCTCTCTCTCTCTCTCTCTCTCTCTCTCTCTCTCTCTCTCTCTCTCTCTCTTTCTTTCTGGTTGTCTGTGCTGGCTGGCTGGCTGCCATTGGTCTTCCCAGTTGTCACCATATTTTTCACTACCTCTCTTCTCATTACCTGACAAAAGGACAGTTTTCTGATAGCTACCAATAATCTTCTATGCAGTCATTCGATACTCAAGCTGACAGAAATATCTGCAAGATTCATTTCTACAACCACATCTCAGCTGTAGTTGAAATTGCAAGTGTGCTAGTGGCTGAAATTGCAATCATGTCAGTTACTGAAATTGCAAGTGTGCTAGCGACAGATTGCAAGTATGCTAGTGACAAGAATTTGATGTGCACTAATTTATGGAAGTTTCTAGACATTCCAAAAATGGGATATGCAAGAGGTTGGGAAAAGAAGTTGGTCTCAAAATTGCACTAGTTATTGTTAGTAATGTCTGCATTCTCTTTCTGTCTAGTTCTTCCAATGGGCAGTAATGTCTGCATTCTCTTTCTGTCTAGTTCTTCCAATGGGCAGTAACACATTTATGCTGGCCACACATGACCCAGAAGTTACAAATGAAGATCAGCAAGAAACTCCAATCTTTGAGAAACGAGACACTTTCTTGCATGGACCTGGCAAGACAGGGTAGGTAATTGTAGTTATACTTGTTTAGTGGATAGAAGTAATGTGACTTAGGGTGTGCTTAGTTTTCTCTTTATCTTTCTACATACCTGAACAGTAAGATAATGGTCTCTTTTTCGTAGCATAAAACTTATAGAGTTTATTATGTTATTTTATGGTGTGCAGAAATGTCAGTTGTGAAACCCATGTGCCATTAAAACTTAATAATTCACCCTTAGGTTGGTGCTTATCAAAGTAGAGGAAAGAGATAGTTTTGGGAACCCTATGTACCATCGGAACTTGATAATTCACATTTTGATTGGCACTCATGAAAGTTGAGGAAAGAGATGTTGTTGAGAAACACAAGTGCCATTGAAGCTTGATAATTCACATTTTGATTTAACACTCATGAAAGTAGAGGAAAGAGATTTTGGGAAACCCACATGCCATTGAGGCTTTATAATTCATGTTTTGATTGACGCTCATGAAAGTAGAGGAAAGAGATGTTGTTGAGAAACACATGTGCTATTGAGACTTGATAATTCACGTTTTGATTGGCACTCATGAAAGTAGAGGAAAGAGATGTTGTTGGGAAACCCTCATGCCATTGAGACTCGAGAATTCACGTTTTGATTGGCACTAATGGAAGTAGAAGGAAGAGAGAGTATTCTCCTGGATCGCTTTCTTTCTTTACTTCTGCGAGTGCTAAAATGTGCTGGTAAATTATTTCAGGACCCAAAGAAAAAGATTATCAAGATTCCTCATTGTGGATTAAAATACACTTGGCTGGCCGCTGCCTTTGCTTCTCTAGACTATACACCAGTGGTTCTCAACTTTCATAATGCTGTGACCATTTTAATACAATTCCTTGTGTTGTGGTGACACCCCCCCCCCCCCCAACCATATAATTATTTTTGTTGCTACTTCATAACTTGTAAATATGTGTTTTCCTATGGTTTTAGAAGACCCCCGTGAAAGGGTCGTTCAAACCCAAAGGGGGCGTAACCCACAGGTTGAGAACTGCTACATGCATTCACAGCTAATTGAAGTTGTGTCATTCGAAGTTGGCTGCGCAAAATAACAATGTGAGATCCCGATCTCATCTATAATGTGACTCCTACCATTGTCTGAAAGCCAGGAGAACCACCAGTACCTGCTTCCACAACACAGAACCCTCACCCAGATTGCCCACTACTGGTGAACACTGAGGATTACAAAGTGAAACCATTCTACTAACCTCTAAGGCATAGAACCATGTATCTCAGTATTTAAAAAAAAGAAATTTTCTGTATTCCAGGGAAAAGATTGTCAGCATGCAGTTCATGAGAAAATACATTCACCTGGCCAAAGGAATGAAGCCCACCCTGACACGAGCTGCTTCAGATTATATTGCAGAGGAGTACACCAAGTTGAGAAACCAGGACAACCTGACCCAGGATCATATTGCCCGGGTAAATGCTTACACTGCCCCTGCTGTAGTTTGGTGTTGAAGTCTTTGTTTTCATGTGTAAGCCTCAGTTAGCCTTGCCTTAGTGCTTTTTCTTACACACTGGTTTACTGATTATGATTGTTGCTAACTTACTCTTTGGCTCTCTAGTCAACAACAGCAACCTAAACATTTTTGTTGCTGTTTTTTTTTTTTTTTTTTCAGTACCAAACAACTTACCCTACGTTTTTTTCTTTGGCCACCAGATAGCATATCTTCTACGGAGAATATGTTTTTTGTTACAGACAGCTGTTATATTAACCCTTTGTTTCTAAGCTGTTAGTTTTAACCACTTTTGTCCAATAGAGTCTTTGTTAAACTCATTAATTTCTAAATATTTGTTGTTTTTAAGCTCGACTTCCAGAGAAAGATTGCAAATAAAAGAGTATTACACACACACACACACACAAAGCACCAGCCTCCCAAGAATAGATAACTCAGCAACATAATAATAACAGTTTTTGTGGTTAATATGGCTTTTTATTTGAGTTGTGAGTTGATTTATCTAAACAGCACTCCAGACATGTCTGTAAGTGCTCAGAGGCCCCCTTCAACATATCCATCAGCATCCTGCGGGTAATAGTGCCAGTCCTATGCTGGTTAACAAGACTTCCTGTATGTCCAGTGTGCTTCTCATGCCCAACTGTGCTGATCTCTATTTTTCTTACATTTTTAACAGTCATGCGGACATGCTGCTCCTCAAATCCTCCAATTGTCCTATCTCTCTACGGGGAATTAATAATGTTGGCAGGATCCATAGGCCAGCCAACTGCAGCTAAAATTAGTTATTTGTATGTCTCATAGTACTGTTGTATGAGGTGCTGATATGTATCCATCTAATGTATCAGCTGTTGTATGAGGTGCTGATATGTATCCATCTAATGTATCAGCTGTTGTATGAGGTGCTGATATGTATCAACTGTTGTATGAGGTGCTAATATGTATCCATCTAATGTATCAGCTGTTGTATGATCATCTAATGTATCAACTGTTCTATGATATGTGCTATTTATCCATCTAGTGTATCGACTGTTCTATGAGGTGTGCTCATATTTATCCATCTAACATCAACTGTTGTATGAAGTGTGCTGATATGTATTCATCTAATGCTTTTGTATTATGAGGTGTGCTCATATGTATCCATCTACATCTAGTGTATCAACTATTCTATGAGGTTTGCTCATATTTATACATCTCAACATATCAACTGATGTATGAGGTGTGATGATTTTTACCCATCTAGTGTATCAACTGATGTATGAGGTGTGCTGAAATGTATCTATTCAACGCATCAACTGATGTATGAGGTGTGCTGATGTGTCTCCATCTAATGTATCAACAGATGTATGAGGTGTGCTGATATATATCCATCTAATGTATCAGCTGTTGTATGGCGTGCTAATATGTATCCATCTAATGTATCAACTGTTGTATGATGTGTGCTGATGTGTATCCACCTAATGTATCAACTGTTGCATTATCTCAAACAGACCCAGCCTGTGACTGCCCGAGCCCTGGAAACTATCATCCGGTTGTCAACTGCCCATGCCAAAGCACGCTTGAGTAAAAACGTGGAGCTAGTAGATGCCGAGGCAGCTATTGAACTGGTTGAGTTTGCTTACTTTAAAAAGGTGGGCTTTTATTTGTAATCTTTGGCAGAAAACCAAGAAATATCTTGAATTGCAAACTTTTGTTGACTATATTTAATGGAATCCACAGTGGCATAGAATAGCACTGGCATCTAGTGCCTTCAATAAACTGTCTAACATCTGGAAATCAAAGACACTTAGCAAACACTCAAAACTCAAGATCTTCAATTCTTGTGTGATTCCAGTACTAACCTATGGATGCGAGAGTTGGAAATCAACAAAAACTCTAGACACAAAATTAGACAGTTTTGAAAATAAATGCCTTAGAAGAATACTAAATTTCAAATGGTCAGATTTCCGAACCAATACACAAATAAGGCAAGAATCTAGGCAAGAGTATGTGTCTAATTTTATACGAAAACGCCGCTGGAACTATGTCGGCCACGTCCTTAGAATGGATAAATCAAGACTTCCTTACCAAGCCCTCATTTGGACACCACAGGGGAAAAGATCTCGTGGAAGACCAAGGGAAACCCTACGTAGAACTATCATCAGGGAAGGCTCGCTCATGGGCCACTCAAACATCCAAGACCTACAACAGATTGCAACGGACCGCCGTGCATGGAGAGTCACGACCTCTGCCCTATGTGCCGCACTCGACACAAGAGGAAAGACTAACTAACTAACAGTGGCATAATGGCCAAAGACTCTCTTTCGGCCCAAAGGTCTTGGGTTTGAATCTACACTGTCCCCATGTGGATTCCTGGTCCCTCTTGTGGGGGAAATAAGACACGACCCACTGCCTCCTCAACAAGCATGTCGTCAGAGCTGACTAGTTGGGAGCTTCCTTCTGAGTCAAGTGCACATGCCTGAAAGGCAAGGAACCAACAGTCTGCATACATACGAGTCACACGAGTGAAATGGATATGCGTGCAACACTCAGGTTCTGAAACAGGACTAGAGTCCAGAAGTAAACAAACAACCAAAGCTTCCTGCTAGAGTTTACAGCCAGTGAATGCGAAGAAGAAGAGGAATCTAATCAGGTGCCATCTCCAAAATAAAGGTTGACCGCAGTTTATCTCCAGCATGCTTTTATCCTTTGCCATGTATGTACACTCTCTCAGACTGCTGTTCATCCATCTCTTGATGGTATCCTTCCTCTTGTAACACTTTCTACCCTTTTGCCACCTTGCCTTCCACTTTCCTTCAGCAGTTATTTTTTCATTCCTTGTCTCTCTAGTGTCTCTGCATTTGATTATTTTTTGTTTTCTTGAACTGCAGCCTATTCACTAAATTTAGTATCTGTCTTGTCTAATTTCTTTTATCTGCCATGTGTTTTTAGTTATTACTTTTAAAACTGAAATTGTGTATTGCAATTACAATTTCAGGTCTTAGAAAAAGAAAAGAAATCTCGACGAAGAGCCCACGAGAGTGAGGATGACGAGAGCCAAGAAGAAGGAGAGGATGATGAGCAGGCTCCTCCACAGAAGAAGGCGTGAGTAGTAGTCATTATTGCACATAGAGGCAAAATAGAAGCCTACAAATTAACGAAATGGAAAAAAAAAAATTCAGAACTTGGAGGAACTGCAGTGAATGATGCAGTTTAGAAGGGCCTAGCTTATACGTTTGGGCCTTTGTTGTGATCATGGACAGAAGGAAGGTGGAAAAACTAATTAAGAAGTATCTTTTAAAAAAAAAATTATTTCAAGTAGAGCTGTACCGAACATTTGCTTCAGGGCCGAATAGCGGACCTACTAACTATTTGATATTTGGATGAATGCTTGCGGTCAGGCCGAATACGTATAGTTACGTTACATCTGCTTTTGTATACACGATTGATTTTGTTAAAAGCTAATGCAGCTTTTATGCAATAACTAAGCTGTCAGTGACAATTTACAAGTTTAGTTACTCAGTATAATACTTAGAATATTTTCATTCCTAATTATTAGTTAACACAGACTGACTGAAGGATGCAAAACATTAAATGTTTACTATTCTGTACTACATTTTGATAAGTAAAAGTTCAGCGTACATTTGACATTATGAATGTTTTTTTAAAGAATTATTTATATACAAAACACTATTTGTATTCGGCCAAATAATGGGTCCCTTTATTTGTATTCTGCCGAATAGTGATAATCACCTATTCGATACAGCTCTAATTACTGTTCTGTGTTGATTTCAAGTAATCTGCTTAGAATTTTTTTTTTTTCCTAGCACTCTGCTTCTCTCTCTCTCTCTCTCTCTCTCTCTCTCTCTCTCTCTCTCTCTCTCTCTCTCTCTCTCTCTCTCTCTCTCTCTCTCTCTCTCTCTCTCTCTCTCTCTCTCTCTCTCTCTCTCTCTCTCTCTCTCTCTCTCTCTCTCTCTCTCTCTTTCTCAAAGCTTTTTTCTGTCTCTTCTCATTGCACCATCTCTATCACCTTTGCTCTCTTCTATGAGGTACAAAATTGTTTGGCTTTGGGGAAGTATAACTCCTTTGTACTGCACGGGTATCTGTATTTTTTTTTTTTTTTTTTTTTTTTCTCTCTTTTAATTATTTGATATTTTTTTAGGAAAACCCCCCGTACAAAAAGGCAAGAAAAGAAAGACGGAGAGGAAGGTTATGATCCTTATGACTTTGAAAAGGCAGCAGACCCTGCAGGTATGAAATGTGATATTCATGCAAGTTATGAGATATGCTGCAGACCTGATAAGAACTTACCGGGCACCGAAGAAATCATTCTTCTCATCAGAAATTCCTCTCATCCAGATAAGAATTCAAGCATGAAAAATTTTAAGCGGCCTGCACTGTAATTGACTTGGAAATTGTTGTCTTATTATGCCAAGAGAAACATTGGTGCAAGTCAAACTTTACGGCTCGCTGAGTGAATTACAACAGACAGTGAAGTTTATACTGGAGACAACATTGCAGATATAGATAATTTATTTCAAGAGAACGAAAGAGAAAGTTGTCTTATTGTTTTGAGGGGGAGTTTGCTGTTTTACCTAAATTGTCCTAGCATTGTTTGTTTTTAATGCCATTTGTATGTTACCAGTGTTTATTAAGAAAGCCGAGATTAGTTACAGTAACCCATCAAGAGGTCATAAGAGGCAGCAAAGGAGGGTTGGCCTGAAACTGACTCCCTCATCTTGTAAACACCTCTGAGTGCAGCCGATTCAAGAAGATTTGTACAAAGGACTTGGCATCATGAGTTAGTTGAGGACCTCCCTCCGCACAGATAATTGCAAGATTATGTATAGAAACAGGAGACTGTTTCATTCAGTTTGGCATAGTCTGAGAAATTTGTATGAGTTATGATAAATTAAATGTTGTTCTCAGAAGAAGTTAGAAAAAAACTGGGTTGGGTGTATATAATTAATCGGTGGCTAGGCACCCCCGTGTGGGTACCGGGGCCCCATTGTGGGAAAAAACAAGAATAGACCCACTGCCTCCCCAAAAGCATGTCGTAAGAGTTGACTAATTAAGGAGCTGCCTTTGAAGACGGAGTGCATCTGCCGGAGAGGCAAGGAACCAACAGTTTGTATTCAAGAGAATGAGATCTGTAAAACTGATGCACACGCAACACTCAGGTTCTGGAGCAGGACTGCAGTTCAGTAGTGGACGAGCAACCAGAACCTTCCGCCAGAGTATACAGCTGGTTAACGCGAAGAAGAAGGAGGTGGCTAGGCAGTTGTCTTTGGTCTCAGTTCACATCAGATCAGATTTTTGTGTCACTGATTTTGGGTCCCCAGGTTGCCGCAGCCGAAAATGTGTACTAGAAAAATTTCCTGAAAAGTAGAGGCTTAACTAGTAAAAGATGTTTATAATTTAGTGACTGCATTGGTAAGAAAAGATCTACAAGTGTCATTTGTTACTCTAGATCCTGCCACCTTGAGAGAAGCCAGGAAGAAAAGACGAGATTCTGGATCAGCACCATCTACTCCAGCTGCTGCCCCAGCTACATTAGTACAGCTAACAGATGACAGGTTTGTCTTTCTCTCACTGACTACTATGTTGGGCATCTTATATGGAGAACTGAAGCTTAATATATGTGAACAAGCATGGCGGAACACTTGTGTTCTCATGTGAACAAGCTTGGGGAAACGTGTAGAGGCATGGGGGGGGGGGGGGGGGGCATGCTTGTCCTACATGAGCCGCCACCGTTCTATCCCTCACATAATCTGTACATGCCAAGAGTCAGGTACACTGTGCACACACTGGAATCGGTGATAATTCTATGGAGTTCACTGCTAACAATAATTTTTCAGTCTTATGGAATAAGGTTCTGTTTGTTAATACAGCATCCCCATCATTGTATGTTTATACATATATATTTATATATAATTATGTCCTTCTGAATTGGTTTATAGATAACAAGCTTGTGTTCATTTGTTAGCACATTTAAAACAGAGAGTAGATCACTTGCAGCTGAAAATATTCAGTCTTTTGCTACACCAAGTTTAATCAGTCATCTCAGAATTATAATTCTATCTTGATAATGATTTGTGTGTTCTTCAGTGGTTACTTAGTTAGATACGGGTAAAGATAGGTTCGACAGCAAACATCTCTACAAAATGTTGAATTGACGTCACAGCAGTCAGGGCATTCCCATAAGCGTTCCATACCCATCTTTAACAACAAGCGCAGAGTTCCAGTTCTGAGGGCTGCAGTAACAATCTGATTTGTAAATCTGTCTTGTCTTTTCCTTGTGTTGAGCATTAGCTAGATCTTCTGGTCGCTCCTCGCAGCGCCATTCTCCGCTGGCCATTATCTATATTTATATTTATGCCACTGCACTTTTCACTCGTTCCAAAACGACTCTTGCTACATCTGGCTTGTCCTGCATCAATTCATCACCAAGAATACTGAATGTTAACCCACTGCGGGCTGCGTGGATTTTTATCCTGATATGGAACGTCACAGGTCGACCCAGCCTCAAATGTGTGCCAGGATTGCTGTCCTGGGGAAGTAGAGACGGCCGACGTAATGCTGATTACATTACTCACCGAGTGCCGATTGGTCTGTAAAAATATGGGTACTTTTCCCATATGCCCGATGCGCCTAAAGGCGTGAAAAGGATTCTTTACTTATACCATATATAATTAAGAGAGGTCTCTTTTACGGCCAAATAAAACAGTTTAGTGAAGCCTGCAGAAAATGTTGCAGATGACACAGAAAACAATATTACAGATTTAGATTTGTAGGCTGAAATTAGAATTTCATAGAGATAAGTCATCATCATAAATCACTTCTGCCGTTAAGCGTCGTGGGGAGGAATAATTTGCGTTCCCGTGAAGGTGTAGAGTGTCTTTAATGTTGTCAATGCTTATTTCAGCAGCCGTCCTCTAGCTCTTGTAGTTGATCTTTTGAGATGTAGTGCTTGTGATGGTATTTAATCTTGCTGCATTCTAACGAGATGGCCAAACCACTTGATCTGCTGTTTCTCAATGAATCTAGTACAAGGTGTCGTTCCCACAATTGGCCTGATAGTTTCATAATTCACTCGATCTCGTATGGTTAGGTTGGCTGCTTTTCTCAGGCACCTGATCTCGCAGGTGGTAATTTTGCGTATATGGGCTTTAGATAGTGTCCATGTTTGGTACTGGTAGCTTAATGTTGGAATAAATATGCTAATAATAATCTGTCTCTTTGCACTCATAGTTATGCTTGGATGTCTTAATAATGGTGACAATTGGTATATTAGTGCACTTGCTTTCTGACATCTGGTTTCTATTTCTCTGTCAATTCTACCATCTTCTGTGATCATACTTCCTAGATATTTAAACTCCCTAACTTGATTCAGAGCAGAACCATTCAGCTGTATGTGTAGTGGGGCAGAATGTCTACTAACTTGCATTGTTTCGGTTTTGTTTACATTGATCTTCATGTTGTATTTACTACATGCTGAGTTTAACCTGTTAATGTGGTGATAAGTAATCAACGGTTATTAATTATAAATATATGAAAATACTTCTTTCATCTGCATATATTGTAATAAAAGTTAAATTGTGCCTCCACCAGGTTGAAAACATTCCGCTCATCACTATACCAGCTGTACAAGAAAGAGAGGGCCCAGTCGGTCCAGCTGGCTCAGATCAAGGAGCATATGGCAGCCGAGCACAAGGAGCAGCCCTTCAGTGAGGATGAGATCATGGCCGCCATCGACAAGATGATGGACGACAATCAAGTGATGCTGTCAGACAGCATTGTATTTTTAGTCTAGGGTGGATGTTGGAGGCTTTGCCTTTGTCAGTTTGAAGAAGATGCATACAACTGAGAAAGCTATTAAAATACATTCAAATTGGATATGACTAGTAGAGATATTTCTTTGTCTGTGTTTATGAAAGGCATTTTGCAGCAAAGTGCTTAGGTTACTTCAACTGATACTTTCAGTATCTAGACATGAGGGGTTTAGTGTAGTTTCTGTAAGGAAGAAGGTGTTTGCCGCCACAGTTTACTATCTCACACAAATATAAGTCTCAGATTAGATCTGATTTCTTGTAATGCCCAAGCCATCAATCTGTCCAAGACATCCTAAAGATTGCTAAATATGTGAAAACTATTTATTTTTTGCTCTTCAGGTTAATTTGAAGTAACGTATTTGGTTATTTTTCTTCTTTAAGTAACTTCGTCATAATTCCCTTATTTTGCTGTCTCACCGATGCCAGGTTGTAGCCCAGTGTCGTGGATTTCTATATTTGTCTTCTGTTTCTCGGGTGGTATGTGTAATGGGTTTGTCCAACATTTTGCAGTTTTAACTACACCATTTATCCATCTCTTTCTTGATTTTCCCCTCGCCTTCCTTCCAGCTGTTCTTTTGTTTAAAAAAAAAAGAATCTAACATTGCAGTTTGGTTTGGCTGCATTCTCACTAGAAAGCCAAACAATTTCATTCTTTCTCTGTCAGTATATGTATAGTATGTTGGACAACACATGAGAGGTCATAAATATCTGACTTCATGAAGCTGTCTTCTGTTTATGATGACAACCAGTTCCACTAGTTCTTCTAATGAATGAAGAATCGACATCACAGTGCTTGAGGCGTTCCCACACATGCTCTGTCGTTCTCCTCAGTAGCCAACAAAGAGTAAACATAATGACGATGACAGTTGCAACCTGATTAAATATCCGCCTTTATTTTCCCTGTCCAGACCATCTGCCTATTCTCCACTGAATTTCTCTTTTAAAGTATGAAGGCTGTTCTCTTGTTCTGTCTACACTTCTTCGCGTTCACCAGTTCTGAACTCCAGCAGAAAGTTCTGGTTTTTCGTCCACTTCCAGGCTATATCTATTCTAGAACTTGAGTGTTAAATTCGCATCAATTCTGCAGATCTCATTTGAATGCAGACTGTTGGTTCCTTGCCTCTCAGATAGATGCATTCCGACTTTGAAGGAAGCTCCCAGTTAGTCGACTCTAATGACATGCTTTTGGGCAGGCAGTGGGTTTATTCTTGTTTTAACCCCATAATGGGGCTCCAGAACCCACACTGATGATAGGGTAGTCTACTGGATACCAGAGCCATTACCATATCCACTTTAACATAAAGTAGCTCACAGTCCAGAGGAGTTGTAGCATTCCAATCCACCAAACTGCTCATTACACCAGACACTAAGATATCCTGCACAGAATATCCCTTGCAGACTCTTTATCTGAGTCGTTTTCTTCTGCATGATAAAATGATGGATTAAGCTTGCGGGTTTCAGATTTCTTACAATTTTGTTCTTATTTTGACAGATTGAATACACAACAATTTACTTAGGTCTCCAATTGTTTACTGTGCATTATACATATGTATTGTCATTCTTCATTGAGGTGCTTAACACTTGATTTATCCAGTAACAGATGTTTGTACAATAAATTGTAACATGTATTATTTTTGTGTTATTTGACAATGCCCATGTTCTTGCTGTCAAAGGACTTTATTAAATCTCTATTCAGTGATTGAGATTTGGCTCATGTGTTACCTAGCATATAAATCAGTGGTTCTCAGCCTTTCTAATGCCCCCCCCCCCCCCCCCCCCCCCATAAATCAGTTCTTTATATTTTGGTGACCCCAAACCATAAAATTATTTTCGTTGCTACTTCATAACTTCAGTAAATATGTGTTTTCTGATGGTCTTAGGCGACCCCTGTGAAAGGGTTGTTTGACCCCTAAAAGGGTCATGACCCACCGGTAAACAGCTGTTATAAAAAAAGCAAAGATCAGGTTTCTCATAAAAAGAGACTCAGAGTAAGTTTAAGGTTGAATACTCCATCCCAGAAAAGATTCTGCTTTTGTTGAGTCAAAAATTGAAATCACAGCACTTGGTGCATTCTCATATGTGCTCTATCCTCATCTTCAGCAGTCAGTGCAGAGTTCCAGGGCTGATGGTATTGGTTATATGTCCGTCTTGCCTTTCCTGTAAGTGTAGTGAGCCCGCCAGGCCCTCTAGTTACACCCAGGTGCCTCATTCTCTCCAGGCCATAAAAATCTTGTTTCTTTACTGATGCCGTTGCTTGTTTCCAAAGGGTTTGACCGCATCTGCCTTGTCGTGGATCAATTCACCACCAAGTGGTGCAGATTTGGCCAATCTGTCTGCCTGTTCATTACACACTATGCCTGCATGGCCTGGAAGAAAGATCCAAAGTATGCTCACTACCTGTGACCTTTCCAGTTAAGCTTGCCACTCTGCTCGAAGCATCCGTCTTTACCTTTCTCAGCATGCCTTTAGCCCCAATGGCCAGCCAGCTGTAAACAAGTTTAGAGTGGCCTGGCATGAGTTGCTTGAGGGCCTATGCTCCATCAGAGGATACTTTTTCACTTCCTCTTTTCCTGCTTTGGGTGTCGAGGGAGGTACTATGTCCTGTTTTTGGCTCTTCTTGCCACCTCGACCATAGACACATGATGCCTTTGTAGAATTTATGTGATGTTACCTTTTCATCCTGTTCTCGGTAAACCCCAAGTTCTACATCCTTCTCTGTTAGTGTATGGTATGGCAAAGTGGGCAAACCACATCAAAGTTTGAAATATCCTGTGGTCGGTTTTTGCGAAGTTGCAGCCACCTCACTGTGAACTGTTGAGACTCAGCCCTATGCACATGAGATTTGTTCTCAGCTTAGACGAACAGTATCTCATGAGGATGATGTCTTGCAGTTCGGTCGTACAGCAAAGTCTTAGACGTCCCACAAGATGTGATAGACAAAGTTTAGATGTCCGCTACCATTGGCCCAAATTGTCAGAGTATCAGGACCAGCTGGGGAAGCCTTGCTGGATGCATGTTTTTCCTATACTGCTGCAGAGTCCGTTTATATCTCATTGTGTTTTCTGTAGCGATAATAAATCCATTGCCGGCTTGCTAAGCCTGTCGCAACTTCACCAGAGCCCCTTTGGCCAGGATGTTTCGGGGTGACCCAGGGTGGCCTTCATGGCTACCGTAGCAGTCCCGTGGCACGAGGCCACACCTAGCGATCCCCTACTTTGTTCTGTTACCACCTCTGTGCTGCCAGTGCCAGACACTCACAACAAACCATAAAAGAAAATTAGAAACCATGGAAATAAGATGTCTGAGAAGGGCTGCAGGAGTGACCATAAGAGATGAGATCATAAGAGAAAAAGTCGGCACAGAATCAATTCTAAATTACATACGAAGACAGCAAGTGAAATGGTTTGCCCACTTAGAGAGAATGCCTTGTGACACCATACCATACAAAGCATACATGGAAAGAGAAGAAGGATGTAGAGCACAAGGTAGACCAAGAACAAGATGGAAGGATAACATCAGAGAAACTCTACAACAGCACAATGTGCCAATGGTCGCGGCGGCCAGAAGAGCTAGAAACAGAACCTTATATCTCCCTCGACACCCACAGCGGTAAAAGAAGAAGCTGCAGAGTCCTGTTGCAACATTAAAGATGTCTAACATGCTGAAGACAATTGTGCCCATTTGTGTGTTCATCGAAGTCCTGGACCTGCTGCTTGCTCCCTTTTTTCTCCAAAGAGTGCTACTTGTGATGAGTGGGAAGCTTAACAAATGGATGTGAGGTTAAGCAGGACATAATGATTCATTGGGTGAGCCCAAGACCAGAGCATAATATGTCGGCTCTGCATTTATGGAAGCCTCCTTAATGATGCCCATGATCTGCTCCTGTCTTCCTTTGAGCAGAGATCAGTCTACAAAACCTGGATGGGTTCTCCAGGGACAACACCTGCAGATGAGGGGATAAAAAGGATACCACACAAATGAGGCTTGCATGAATATCTGAATGCAGGCTTTTGGTTCCTCACCTCCCATGCAGTTGTACTCCAACTTCAAAGGAAGCACCCCCAAATATGGACCTGCTTGAATTGAACGTATTTTATGTTGGCAGAGTAAACCTTTTTCCACAGAATGGAATATTTTAACCAAACAAAATAAACATACTGTGCATGTTAACTACAGTGTGCCACTGTTGTCAAAGAATATTACATGCTGAGATCTCAATCTCTTCCACTGTGCAACTCTCGTACCATTGTTTAAAAACCTCAGGGAACGAACTTCGTTACTCGAGGATCATGAAGTTGTTAAGCACATTCGCTCACTTCTGAGCCACAGCAGGAAATGTGCACAAATTACAGACATGAAAACGTGTGAGTTATTGTTTAATAAACAGCTTGGTTAACATTTTACAAATAATTTCAGACAAAATATACAAAAACATTTTAAGATAAAAAAAATGTGTCTTATGTTCTTAGGCCAGTCTACCTAGCATTTGATTTTATCATTTTAGTTGAAGATTTTCTTAACTGCAGTAAGAGCTCTCTACAAGTGCTACAGTCACCTCCCACCACACTAGGGAGAAATTTGCACTGACTAAGATCCAAATGTATATACCAGAATTACAGTACTATGTTCTTTTCAGATACTAACATCTGCCAAAGGATTTTCTTTATCATTCGCCTGAGTGGTGTAATTTCCTGTGTGCCTGTTTATTAGATACCTGAGTATCTGTAAAGCCAGCACAGAGCCTTCTGTTGCCCAAGGTGTGGTACAGATTATCCCCTTATACACAACACAATGGCTTTAGCTTTTCCTCATTCATGTGACCCAAATCATCATACCACCAAAGTATTTTATTGCACACATGAAACTCATCTTTCCACTCATCTGGTAAAGGCTAGAGAAAGCATTAGACTAGGACCCAGAGATCAGGATACATAATTTTTCTCTTGTAAATTTTCAGTCCACACTAGAGGCCAACATGTCG